TATGAATTTATTTTTCAGAAGTAACCTGGCCACAAATGATAGCTGTATAACGATTTTTCTGTTTGCACGTAGTCACTTTTAAGATGTTTTCTTGTTCATGTTTTTGTTGGTTCCGGTTGCACCCGATTCAAGAGCCGAATGGCTCACAGGGCTATACCTAATAAATTAAACTGAAAACTATAAAGTTGCCTATCACGTGGAAATTTATAGCCAGAAAATTATCAAAAATGATCCCAATGGACGTTCTTCGCTTGTTGCAGAGGTTCACGGTTCGCATCCAGGGGGCCACCCCGATCAATCCTGCCGTGCATGTGTGTGCGTGAAGCGTAAAAATACACTCCTCCCGCTTCGCAGCGGATGTTAAAGATCCGTGACAGCGTTCGCAAGAGTCGGCTTTGGGCACTTGCTGGTGTCACGGTCCAAATTTGCTGAATTTTGAAAAAAAATTCCCCTGCAAATTACTCCATAGGAACGTACCGTACATACCAATCGCCATGCCCTGCCACAAAAACTTGGCAGGACCCTCATTAAAAAGAGTTATGAAACTCAGGCTTTCCTTTTTAATCAAAGCATAATAGGAATAATGGCATACACATATACCTTTTACATCCCTTGGGTTTAAGGGGAGACTGTAACCCCCATGGTGTAGACGGTTTTACTCTGTCGCTTGCGCGTGTGAATGTTCTCATTGCTGCACACATGTACGTACGCGTGTGCACATGCATGCGTACATGTGTTTACGTGCGTGCGCGCTTGCTCGATGTGTTAGTTTCCCGGCGATCGACCGCTCGCTCGCACCCCCACCTACGCGTCTCGCATGCAGCAGATATCCCAGCGTGGCATGGCTCTGAAACCCATTTGTAGGTAGTGGACGAGGCATGCCCAGCCCCCGATTATGTCCTGTGTGTGTGTGGACGCGGAGTCTGCTGATAATTTCTCAGCTCCGCGGGAGCGTTCGGTAACGGCACCCATCTGTCGTGGATTGGAACAACAACGAAAAAATCCCTTAGATGAAGGAGTCAGCGTTATTTTAGGCCTTGAATTTTTCCTTTACAAAAACAGCGTTTACTCGCACAGCCCGTTAGTCAATCCACTGCTGGATGATAACATTATTTCGTGCACCGCGATCGCCCATGCAAGCATTTTCGCAGGCTTCTCGACCCTGCCCGCGACATCGGGCGCATGTTGAGTACTTTTTTTAGCGCGGTCAAACGGAGAGCACAGACCTTGATGCTTCTCTGCTCTGTACCCCGACGACCTGAGTGTAATCTCCAGCGAAATGTCATGAGAAAATTGCCAGAACGTTACGTGCGTTTCAACCTTAGGGTTCACTGAAAAACAAAATCTAATCATTTAGCATATTTTCCCACGTGACAACTTGATTTGATTGGCCGTGTCGGTTGCCGGAGGGTTTAGCTGAAAATCTTAATTACGCCTACACGATCTAATCCAAAAGTAAATAATGACATATATTTTAGAATGCATCATTTAAAAAAAAAAATCCACAACATATACCGGATACAATTAAGAAGGAGAATTGGAATTTTAAGAAAATTTTACTTTAAACATAGTTTGGTCTTTGGTGATTGGTATCAGACGACTCACACACATCACATGTTGTCAGCTCGTTCAGACACATACAGAGGTTATGCCAGACCATACCCAATCAGCACAACACTCGATCTACACGGCCATTGAAATTAACAGTGGAGTATTTTATCAATGCTTTGTTGAACGAGTTGTGGGGGGTTGTTTGACCGTACTTCACCACGCTGGTCAGTGCGGCTTCGGTGAAGCATAGACGTGGGGATGTATTAACGAAATACAGCAGTGGATTTTGTTCCACTGGACTGGCCTCTGCTGCCAGCACTTAGCCCCGTAACGGCCTATACAAGCACGCTGCAGGCTCACGCTTGCTTAGCTTCCGGAGTCTGTGCCAGGTTATAAATATACACTATGTAACACGATTTTTGTTCCTGGGTAATAAGTGTTATTTTCTAATTGCTTATGCCTCAAAAGTATAGAAAATGGCTATTATTCCCCACAAACTTTGCTTTTGTGAATAATGCCAAGCGTTAATACCGCAGACCTCTCTCAACAGTGTGTGCACAGCACGTGGGAGAAGGTGTGGGTAGATTGGCTCCACAAATGGCACGATCGGCAGTCGGGGACTCCGCAAAACTGCGAATGCGCGGAGGTGCAAAACCATCGGATTGCCCGAGGACGGCTGCCCAATACAATGCTCGTACCCTGGTGGAACAAGTGGACCACACTCAGCTACCACCCCAGATGCCGCGGAATGCCCTGAAAAAAATTAATAAAAAATTACATCTGTAGCCTGTTGGGCTTATTTTTTTCATATTTTCAACGCCATATGAGAGAAGTTCGTTCAACGTGCATACAACATTCACGCATGCACACGTTCTAAAAAATATATACACGGCCCTTTTTTGTCTATCGGACTGCCAGACGAAGGGTTTCTAGCGGCAATGCCGCTATGCCGCATAATTCCGTGTGGGCTGGTGCAGTCGGAGGCGAGGTTGGGGGGGGGGGGTGATCCGGGAGGATTTTGCTTTCACTCAGCGCCACTGATGTTAGCCGTGCCCCCAGAAGTCACGTCGCAGCGTTGCGTTGAACGCCAGCGACCGCAGCTCCGGCCCCACGTTTTTCTTTTTATTAACGTAGCGGAATTGACTGAGACTGGAGTTTATAAAGGAGTTCACGTCAGAGGCTGAAACGGTGCCAGAGAGGAGCAGGTGGGGGGGGGCATGGACGTTTGAAACCGCACGCTCTATAAATGTCTTCACCGCTCACTGGGGGGGGGTGGGCGGTGAGGGAGGAATGATATTTGCAGTGCAGCGATTGGGTAAAACCGCAGGAACAGTGACACTCGCTGTGTGTTAAAGGCGCAATCGAAACAAAGTTGTGCACGTGCTCAGTTTGCACATGGTGGCTCCTCAAATGAATGCAATTCCTAAGCAATGCTTGTGTAGTGACATCACTGGATGTCAACATGCTGGGTGCAGTGCCGGCCCTAGAGAGGCACGCTGTAGCGGTGTAGCGACATCGCGGATACCACAGCGGTGTGGGTGCAGTACCGGCCCTGGAGGGGCCCGGTGAACGCTGCTTGATAGCACTGGATGGCACCACGCTTGGAGTGCAGTGCCAGCCCCTACAGGACAGGGTGTGTGGGTGTCGGCCGTAGGAACGAGGTTACTAAAGCCCATGGCACTCTGGTTGACCCGCGAGGACACGTGACCAGTTAAGTCTACAAAGGGGCCCCAAGTGGGTGCTAGGAGTGGCCACGTGGTTGGGACCCAGATTCTTCCCGAGGGTTCTGGAAGGTGGGCGTGGCCAAGGGCGGAGCCGGCCACGCCGCAGAGAATACAAACCGGGTCCCCAAGAGGGACCGGGGTTGTTGTTGTTGTTGTTGTTCATCCTGAAGAAACCCTTCGTCTACGTTCTACGTGCTCCGAGTCTCCAACACGTGGGCCCGGGCCCGAGCTGTTGGTCCCGGTCCGTAGCAGCAGTTACGTTGTAACTAGTGTAGTAACTAGTGTAGTAATTAGTGTAGTTAGCCTGGTGGTCACCACCTGGCTAACTACACCAGTCACGTGGTAACTAGTGTAGTTACTAGTGTAGTAACTAGTGTAGTAATTAGTGTAGTTAGCCTGGTGGTCACCACCTGGCTAGCTATACCAGTTACGTTGTAACTAGTGTAGTAACTAGTGTAGTAATTAGTGTAGTTAGCCTGGTGGTCACTACCTGGCTAACTACACCAGTCACGTGGTAACTAGTGTAGTAACTAGTGTAGTTAGCCTGGTGGTCACCACCTGGCTAGCTACACCAGTAACGTTGTGACTAGTGTAGTAACTAGTGTAGTAACTAGTGTAGTTAGCCTGGTGGTCACCACCTGGCTAGCTACACCAGTAACGTTGTGACTAGTGTAGTAACTAGTGTAGTAACTAGTGTAGTTAGCCTGGTGGTCACCACCTGGCTAACTACACTAGTCACGTGGTAACTAGTGTAGTAACTAGTGTAGTAACTAGTGTAGTTAGCCTGGTAGTCACCACCACAGGTTGTTATTCTGTTAAGGGGATAGTTACCCCGTGTGTTGGAACTGAAAAAATGTGTTGCCTCCAAGTTGACGCCTGTGACTCAGTTGGACCCATTACACTTGCATTAGATGGGACTCCAAAGTGATACTATTTGTGTTTCTGTGTAATAATAACAAATGTCAAAGTGCTATCTTGCCCAAATGTGGTACACATCTCATGTTTACAGCCCTGAGCCACTGGTTGAGATTCCACATTCCTATGGCGGGAGGGGGTGGGGGTGGCGAGTCTCTCCATAGGACAACCCACTGTTGACTTTCCCATCAAAACGTTGCACATTTTATAAGTCCTTGAGGAATTCGCAAACCGAGCAATCATGAGCCGCCACACTCGACCGCTGAGCCACCTCTGATAATCTCATAAAATATCGAGGAACTGCATTGACATTGGTGCACAAATATTAATATACATTTTGTTTTTTTTAAACTGATCGTATTTGCATTCATTTAACATCGATGCACATTAAGGTTAAAGACACACGCGTGTGTGTCTGCAAACGTTCGCCTGCACAGCAAAAGGGGAGTTTACGTCAGCCGTGGTATTTGCCGGAGAGAGGGCAATTTTAGTTTTGCGTTTGACCGCTGCAATCGATCCACTGGACACCTGCGAAACTACTGGACACCTGTGCACACGAAAAAAGAGCTTCACAGCTCATCGGATTTCCCCGCCGCTTCAGACAACGGGGAGACGGATCGTCGTTACCGAACGTAGCCCGCGCTGCTGACTGGTCGTCCCCTGCTTTATTTCCCCCCCCCCCCCCCCCTGAACCCGTTAGTCCTTGGTCGCATGTGTGGTACAAACTTTAACCACAATGTCTTGCTCTGTTCCCTCCCGTTTATCCCCCCCCCTCCCCTTTTGCCGCCCCCTCCACCCCAACCCCCCCAGAGAAGAAGATTGTAGGTTGTAAGTCTCCCACGGGGCAGTCCTCTCCACGCAGCTCGCCCTAGCAATCAACGCAACCCCTGTGCCAATGTTAGACAGCTGACCCTTGTGAACAAAATTGACAATTTACGGGGACATTTTGTTGGGTGCCCTCGCTCGCAGCTGATGGAACGTTGGCCATTAACGCCTTCGTGCTCACGCCACCCGGTCCGACCGAACTCTCCGAGTAGACCGTGTGCTTCCGGAAGGCGAGAACTTCACTGTTAATCCGAGTCAATGTGCCTCGGCGTTAATGGTTAGCAAGGCCGGGGCCTTACAATCCAGAAGTCACGGGGTTAAAATTCCATCTCCTGGCGTGGCAGTTGAAACAAAAATGGGGCAAGTTTCTTAAACCCCCCCCCCTCCTCCCCCCGCCCAACCCCTCTCTCCCCCCCCCCCCCACCCCCGGCCTCTGTCCACCCAGCAGTATGAATGGGTTACGCCACAGTCAGTCGATCGGCGGCGTCACGTTTGGTGGGGTAAAGTGTGGGTATTCCCCACCTCTTCCAAGGCGTCTGGTCAGCTTTGAAGAGTCGGCCAAAAAATACCCTCCAGAGCTCCGTCTATTGGAGACCCTTCTGCCAGCAGTGACTTGATCAAATGATTTATCTTCACCGACGATACCAGAGTTCACGTCTAATTGAGCACTGAAATTATCATTTCTGCCTTGCTGCGTGGGAAAGAGGCCACATATTTTCGTCCCCCCCCCCCCCAGTACAAGCATTTTGAACACCCACAGGGCACCCAACGGAGTTTCTCAGAATATTTCCCAATCGTCTTTTACACCTAAACAGAACGGACCGGTAAACGGAATTGACATTGAAATGCACACGTACGTACATGCAGTGCGTATGTGTCTTTGGGATTATATTGACACACGCACGCAACAATAGGAATAATAACAAAGTGAAACCCCGTGTATCCGAGTACTGCATCATTATCTTAATTTCATTAATATTTTTAAGAATAGCAACTGCAAAAGCATAGAACCGGGCGAACATTCGGCACAACCCAGCATTAGCACAAACTCTTAATTGTGATCTAGGAAACAACAGAGAGCCATGGCAAGGGAAAGGTATAGAAGACAAAAGAAGAACGGAAGTGGTTGTTTATCATCTTCACACTTTTCAAAATCTCATTCCTGACTCCCCCAAAATGATTGAGCTCTCTCAGCTAGACAGGTCTATCTTGACCGATGAACTAGAGCCCTCACAGGCAGTGTACATAACACAAAATCACGTGCACACTCAGACTATTTAGGAATTCAAGATGTAATTCAATTTAGTCGGCAACGCGTAACAGAGCCGGCGAAATGCAATGGGCACGAGATTTTAAGTGCAGGTAGGAATAAATTCTGCTTCGTTCCTCGGCCGCGATGACGGACATTTTAACAGAGAGAGGTCGGCAAGGGGATGGGAGGAAGAAGAGGGCAAGAGTGGAGAGGATGAGGAGGCGATGGAAAAGAAACAAAGCACTTGTCCGGCAGGGTACCCACGATGGAGAGTTTAGTTTTCTTGCGGATGATTTAACTTATCAAAAACACTTATCACGTTCCGAAAGTTCCCATCTTGCCACCCTCGCCCCCCACGATGTGATCAAAAACGGCATAGATTTGTGGACGGCATTTCTCTCCTGTTGGCTCGAGGAAGAGTCGAATAGCTGGAAACTGGCACACACGACGTATTTGAGAGTGGCAACGCCTCACTTGGCAGTGTAGTAACAACAATAATAATCGCTTGGGTAAATGGAATCATAATAAAAAAATATCTATAGAATTAGCCTCTCTCTTGGCCAAATCCTGGTTAAAATTATGCGAGATACACGGAGTTTCAATGCGCACGTGCATGTACGTCTGCGTGTTAACGATAAATAAATCTATTTTAAAATATGTGTGAAAGACCTTTTTTTGATCAAAATGGCTCTCATCTCTTGTCAAGGTTGTACAGCATTGGTACACGCTTTTTAAAAAATTTCATTTTCCCCTTCCTGCCCTCCTGATTAACATGCTTGCTTCTGATTAATAGATATAACATTGACTTTCATGTTTCCTCTTTAATCTCATGGAATATGCCTCACGCGATAATTTTTTTTGTGATTATTGCCACCCACGCTCTGTTAATGAAACGGGTTTTTTTTTAAAGAAAAAAAATCACACCGTTAAAGAAATAAAACGATGCTAACGACTGCGAAACCATCGCGTGTTCAGCCAATCTCACTTTCAGAGTCATCAAAGACCTCTGGAACACTTTAAACGGAAATGGCCTGAATTTGCTTGCAATTCTCTGCAGACATTGCTGATATACTTTTAGAATGCCATTTCTCATGCTTGTCATCGTTTCACAGAATTCCAACGATTGCGGGGCTGTATGTTCACATTCTTTCGTTTGTGTTTTTTTTTATGTTTGGTGTCATGTTCATCCGTTGTCTCGGCATGTGTTCCACTGTCATTTGTATCTGTGCGCGCGACCCGAAAAGCATTGGTGGTCAGTTACTGATGTTTTGCTTTCAGTAACGACGCACGCGGAAATATTTGGTTTCGAAGTGGCTCCCGTTAAGACTAATTACATTTAACGGAGCCGAACGTTATTAAGTTACGTCGAAGAGGGGTTTTTGTTTTTGTTTTATGTATATAAAAGTTAAAATGTGACCGTAGTGAAGCCCTGTAAAGTTGTTTGAGTGAGCGCGGTGAGCAAAGGTTGAACAATGCCGTAGATTTGGCGGGGCCGCAATTCTAAAAGCGCAAGACCATCACCCAGGGCGCTCTGTGTCACCGCCCTCTGCAGTTCAGTTTTTGCCAGCAGTGGGCGATGTTGCAAAGTGGCTTCACCCAATTAAGTAACTTTGACAGGTTATTCTTACTAACTTGGCAAAAATGTGTAACCGTGACGCCGGCACACAACGCCATACTCAGTCTCGATTTTAACGTCGCGGGATCTCTCGCGCCCACGGCGAAACAGACGCCGTGCGGTCGTTTGCGTTTGACAAACCCCCCCCTGCCCACCACCCCCCCCCCCCCCCCCCCACCACCGAGGCATTAACCAAGCTCACTCGTGCCCTCCGCTCGCGGGACCTCCGTTTATTCTCTGGTGAGCGCCTTTTTCGGGGCGAGCGGCAAAGAAGCGGCCAGCCGATAGCAGCCCCCGTTAGCTTTCGCACCGTTCGGTGATCCCGCTTGGCCCTCTCGTCGACGAAGCCGGCCGCCAGCGTCTTCCCCCGCCGGCGTTGACCACGGCGCTCGATTTGTCTGCCCAGGCGACATCCGCAACGACCTGTACATCACGCTGGAGCGCGGCGAGTTCGAGCGGGGAGGCAAGAGCGTGCAGAAGAACATCGAGGTGGCCATGTTCGTGCTGGACGCCGAGGGAGAGATCCTGAAGGTGATGCTCAAACGCCCCGCTGGCGTTTCGCTGCCTTTCCCCGTTGCGAGACGTTTGCGAGTCGCAGGGTGCGGTTGTCCCATTACACGGCCGAACCTCGGAGCGCGCCAGCGGTTCGGCGTTCATTTGAATTGGAGAGGCGTAGCGCCCTTGTTTTTTTTTTTTAAAGACGTCGTACTCGCCACAGGGAACCGTAGCGACACGGCCGCCACGCTTTACAATAGCTGACGCCGAACTGCGGCACACGCCTCGGTACGTCTTCCGACCTGAAGCCGTACCGATAAAGTTGTTTTATTTTAGTTTTTCTTCCGATCCCATTCCGGTGACAAACACGTACATCACCGGAATGGAAAAACGAATGACGTACGCATTAGTGCACGTATGTACGTCATCGGAATGGGAAAGGGTTAAGGTTAACGCTTGGGATTTTGCATCACGTGCTATGGAACCGCTTCTTAAAATAGTTTTAGGTAAAAACAAAAAGAAACAGGAAAGAGTACATTGCCACAAGTGCTCGCTCACGCCAACGCTGGCGGACGGGCCTCCACTCGAGGGAGCTTGGGTGAACCCCTCCAGCGGGTATTTGGCCTACTCTTCCATGCTGTCTAGACGTCTCGGAAGAGGTGTACCAACACTTTATCCCACTGCACGTGATCTGCCGGTCGACTGACTGTCGTGTTTTAATGCATGCTGCTGGGTGGATGGTGGCCTATCTTCCACAGAGTAAGCTACTTCGTTGAGCTATAATTTGTGGCCAGGTCGCTTCTCAAAAAGAGCTATACAACTAAGTGGGCCTTACCTGGTACAATAAAAAAAAGCTTAGTTTCACATTTTTTACAGTAAAACGAGTCCAGTGTGCTGACCATATAAATAGTTGTATTATATATAAACAAAATTTGTGCCTGATCATCATGGCACGTGACTCTTAAACGTAATTAGGAGGAATACGGCCTTTCACGCTGTGGCAGTCACAGGGCTTGTTTCACCATACTTCACCACACTGGTCAGCGCAGATTGAGCTAGTTGAGACGCCACTTGCCACCGATGTTCCTCGTGGCTGTGAACCGAACTGCGGCCCACCAGTTTCAAGAGCGCTGTGCACCCACCGCTGCATCACCACTCTCCAGCTCTCTCAATGTATTCTCATAACTATACACTGAAGCTAATTGAACAATTATGGTATTTGGTACCTCCGATTAGCATGGTTGGCTACGTATGGTGCAAAAGAAGTTCAACATACATTTTACTCTTAAATGTATTATGCTGCTCTGACTAGCAAATTTTATATTCCAAGGAATATGTATTTGCTATGCATATATAGAATATGTAATTTGCTAGCAATATGAGGAAGCAACTGCTTGTTATTTTCTTACAAACATATTCCTTGGAATGCGTATGTGCCATATTCCTTTGTAGCTACAGTATCGTCTCAACGTCACACTATATTTTTAAGTTAACTTGTAATACCTATTAATGGTTTAGGACCGTAGAGCTCTTACAGGAAACACCACCACATCTATTGCAAAACTCATCCCGGTGGGATTTTGGTGTGGATTAGATTTGCCATGAATGTGCTAGGAATTACGTTGGTTTTCTGTAGCTGTGTTTCACAATATCACAGCGCGTTTTCTGCAGAGCGTGGCTACATGAAGTTTATTTTTAAAGATGGCAGTCTAGACAAACAACCATCCTGCTTCGTTGTGTGTGTGTGTACACACAGCTTAGTTCCGACTGTCGATTACTTAGTGTGGAGCCGGAGTGCAGCGGTTAGCGTGCTGCGCTACGAACCCAGCGCAGACCCGAGATCAATTCCTGCTCACGGCCAACACCAGTGACGATTATCTGATCCAGACCTGGGCCTCCTCTAGGTCTACTCGGCCGTAAAAGAGTACCTGGTGCAATGTGTGAACATCAGCACACGTGACGTAAAATTGGATGAGGTGTCAGATTCGTTTTCAAAACTGTTTTAGGACTCCAAGAACAAATGCACCAGTGGCACATTTTCTTTTGATACATTCTCTCCGATCTTAAACAAATGATAAATAATTGTTGGTCGTTTTGTCATGTTACGGAATTCTTCATGCGTATTGTTAAGGTACATTTTCGTTCATCAGTCTGCTGGCTTTTCAAACTGAAATGTTCCAGAAGCATTTGTTCAAGCAAAATAAATGTCTGGATTGGTTTTGACTTTTTATTACTGGATTCTAAGATGCTTTTGGCGAGAGCACTCCAACGTGGGTTTAATAACTGAAGTAATTTTTTGAAATAATTTAATTATTAAGTTTCCGCAGCCGCTTGTAATCCAAGTGTGGTTCAATTCACTTCCTGATGTTGCACGCAGTATTCATACGTGTGGTGAAAGCTTTAGAGAAACTAAACTACACTGAAACTATTTTTATTTTACCAGGTAAGGCCCACTGAGCTATTTAGCTCTTTTTCAGAAGCGACCTGGCTATCACAATGATCGATCAACAAAGTGGCTTATCGAGTGGAAATCTCTAGCAGCCAAATACTCGAAACGCACGTTGATTCTAAATGTGGAGGGAAAAATTGGAGAACCCGGTGAAAAATCCACGAGACCACGGAGAGAGAGACAAGCAAACTCCAAATATACAGCAGCAGGCGTCAGGGTTGGGATCAAACCCACAACCTCCTGTATACCGGGCGAGGTAGTCAACATCCCGCCAGCTTGACACCCAAGGAAATAAACGCTCAGCCACGCGTCGCAGCGCGGAAAGAAAACAAAAAACGCCCCCGCGTTCTTCACCAAATCGAATCGTCCAGAGCCGTGCAGGGTGACCGCGTGCATCTCAGCGTTTGTGTGCTGCGCGTGACACAGGACTGCGTCAGCCTGGGCGCCGGCGAGCCGTACATGCGAGACTTCCACTCCTTCGTGCTCTACCACAACAACAGCCCCCGCTGGGGGGAGATCCTGAAGCTCGCCATCCCCGTCGACAAGTTCCGCGGCTCTCACCTGCGCTTCGAGTTTCGACACTGCTCAAGTGAGTGGCCACCCCCACCCCCACGACCCTCCCACTCCGCTGGGTCGCACTTCACGCTTCACGTCGCGGGACAGTAATTTCCGTGCACGGGCGGTGGCGTGGTAGCGCCCCTGCCGCCCAGGATGCGGTGATTGGCGAGATGTTAACTCCCTCGCCTGGTATGCAGGGGATCGTGGGTTTGATCCCGACCCTGTATCTCTCTTTCTCTCCCTGTGGTTGCGTGAATTTCCCCTCCACGTTTAGAATTTACGTCATGCGTTTTAGAGTATTTGGCTGCTATAAATGGCCACGTGATAAGCCACTTCGTCAGGTCAATTCTGAAAAAGAGCTACATAGCTCTGTGGGCCTTACCTGGTAAAATGAAATTTAAAAAAAATTGTTTACGAGTTAGTTTAGTTTGTTGCAGAGATCTGCAGTTCGAGGCTCTGTTACATGATGCAATATAATATTACATCTTTGCAACTACGGACGACTATATAAGTACGGAAACCCACTTTGTGAGTGCCAACTTTGTAGTCAACGTTTCCGTCATCGGCGCAATCGCCATTTACGTCACCGCGATGGAGGATGGAAGACGCGGACGCAAAAATATCGCGATTTTTGTTGTTGTTCAAATTTATGGTGGGCGTTTCTCTCGGGCGTTTATTAAAAAAAATAATGTTTGACGGCGTCCGGACGTCCACATCACCCACAGTGGCTGGGGCCCCTGCTGCTCAGTGCTCTGACGCGGAATTAGCCTCGCAAACCTCCGAGTCATCTCTCTGCTGGTGATTAACGTGAGACTTCACCACTCCAGGACACACTGCGGGCTCTCATCTCTCGAGCAGCATCGCCGTTGCGACTCTTTACCGTGCCCCGCTCATTGGCAGATGGGCCGCATTTATCAGCAAGCGCATCTTGCCTGTGTAGTCCAAAAACGTTTGAATAATCAACATTGGTTCCCGGGGATGTCTTGGAAGTCCTGATTTTCTCTCGATTTGTGTGTGGAAGCTGTTGATTTGACTGCTGCTGCTGCTATTGTCAAGTGCACAATATGAACAAGCAGTCGTTCCTGAGGAAGCCTGTGGGTCTGGCAGCATACAATTATGGTACTATATATTGCCTTACGAATTATGTTAAACATTACACTGTTATACTATTTATTATTATACAAAATGCTATAAACTATACTATTGACCGTCGTGTGAAAGGTACTAAGAGGCAGTGCCAGCGAATGGACTGCGGTCTGAAAGTCACCGTAAAATACAATCAATCAAGAACCGAAATGGTTTATAACGTCTTTCCAATGGTTACTAAGCCGGAATCCATCTTCTTGGTTGAAATTGTCTCTGTGTTTGTATATGTGGATAGCCTCATGAACGAATCTCTCATGGTAGCCAGAGGGCTTGCAGAGAACCTCCGTCTTGGATAAGTCAATGTCATGTGAGCCCACTGAATTATAACAGTGATCTGCCACGGCTGAGGTGTTCGTCCTACCGTGTTTCAAGTCTGCTTTATGTTCACGGATGCGGTCCGAGATATGTCGTTTGGTTTTTCCAATGTAGCTGTTACCACAGAGGCAACTTAGTTTGTGACGCCCGGGTACTGTATGTCTGGAATCGGACCTGGATCTTGTGTTTATTCAGGATTTTGGAGATCTTTTTTGTGACCCCCGCAATGTAGGGTAAGGTGATGGTTTTGATGGCTCCTCAAGAGGATCCTTCTTCATGGTTGGAGTGATGGCTTTGCGGATTGTGTAGTTGGAGTAACCATTAGCCTTGAGAGCTTGGTGATAGCTTGAAAGATAGATTCAGCGTATGATTGTCCGACATTTCAAAGGCCCTGTAAGCATTTTGGCCAATTTACAACTGGGACCTCATGAGACCTCTCTTGCCAGTATCAAAATATACGATTTTTTTTCCCTTTTTGGCAATAAAACAGTTGTGTTAAGATGTCAAACACCAAACAAAAACCTTTCGCAAGAAATCCTGTCTGCATTATCCACGCATATTTGTGGTGAACATGCAAACAGAAAAAAACACGCTTTGATAGTATATGAAGCATTGTCTTTGAAACTGATTGGTCCACACCAGAGACAGCTTTCCTTAGAGCCTATACCCTAACAGTGGCCTAATGCTGTTAGAGACCAGAGCATGTTTTTTTTGTTTGCATGTTCACCACAAGTATTGTGTTTGGTTAATGCAGACAGGATTCCTTGCAAAAGGTTTCTGTTTGGTGTTTTAACGACTTAACACAAACTGTTGCATTGCCAGAAAGGGTAAAACCTATTTTTACAACTGGGACCTCCTTAAGGGCTTTAGTGGAAGGGGATGAACCGAGGTGCCATGCGCATTCCCGTCGCCGCGGCCCCGCGGGGCTGCGTTTCACCTCCTTGCCGCCACTCCACAGTCGGCGGATTGGCGGCCGCCGTTCGGCACGGGAACCGAAACTTCGTGCCGGAGATGTTTTCCCGCGTCACTCGCGCAGCAGTCAGCTGGTCTGCTTCCCAGGGAGCAGGGCTGTGTTGTTCACTCGTTTTCAGGAGGGAGGCGTGGGGGGGGGGGGGCGCTGTCGTCGATGATACATCATCAGTGTCACGAAGATGATGATGGTAGTGGGGGGTGTTGTCACTCTTTGTGCGTTGTCGGAGGGCCGCACGTCAGGGGCCTCCAGTGGCCTGCAGGGCCTTGCGATGAAGAGCGCTGGAGTAGGGGTTCACCATCATGCCCCCTGCCCACACCCTGCTCCCACCCCTGGCCGCTGGGTTAATAGCATTATACATGGGTAGTGTGTGTGTGTGTCTGTGTGTGTGGGGAGCGGTAGTGTAGCGGTTAGCGCTACGCTGCACTACGAACCCCGGAGACCCGAGTTCGATTCCCGCTCATGGCCAACAGCAGTGACGATTTTTTTAACCGGTCCTGGGCCTCCCCTAGGTCGACTTAGCCTCAAATGAGTACCTGGTGCGGTATGTAGGAAACATCGCCACTGGGGAGACAAATGCGGTCGGGCGTGGTGTTGGCCACCCACCCCCTCGTGTGCCGTGCCGGCCTTCATAGGTGCTCGCTAACAGCACTTGCTCCAAAAGTCAATTAAGGCTATAGGGGGGAACTTTGTCTTGTATTTAACGTATGCGTGTATGGATATAGTGGGGAGCGGTAGCGTAGTTATATATTTGTCTGTCTGTCTGTCCACTGACGCTTATTCTTCATCACAGGTAGACTTCGACAAAATATAATGTGATTGATGTAAATCCTTGGCCACTAATTCCTTTGCCCCGTGGTTATTATGTATGGCCGTTCGTCAGTTTGTAGATAATGCTGTTATAGACACCGCTGTTTTCATGAAAATTCAAAAAAGCTCGGAAACCGATCGTTACAAACTTGACTGCACAGTTCACCAATTCCACCATGCTGCTCACCAACACTCTTTACTAAACTCACCACGTAGCTCACCTACACTAGAATGAAGTCCACCATGCAGCTCACCCACACCATTACTAAACTCAACAAACAGCTCACCAATACGACTACCAAACTCACCACGCAGCTCACCAATACTAATAAACTCACCACGCAGCTGACAAACACCGGTCCCGCTTACCACGCACAGCAAACTCAACCCATTCCTCAACAACACCGTGGCCTTGAGAAGTACTTAATAGGAGGCGTTTTGGGGCGCGTACATTATCCGCGCAGCCTCACCGCCTGCAAAAATTAACCCTCCACGTCTTCTTGGTATCGGTGCTTCCCCTGCCCCGTCCCCCCGTGCACATCGCAGCGTACGCACCGTAATCGTCATCGCCTGCCCGCCCGCCCGCTCGGTCTGCCGGTATTAACCATCGCCTCTGCCACCCCATGGCGCACACCGCGTGGGCAAAAACCCCAGTGGCGAATTTGGGAGAAGCAAGCGAAGCGGCGGGGCTTTGTGTCGCGGATTTGCGTCCCGGATTGTGTCTCGGATTTGTGTCGCGGCTTTGTGTCCCAGATCTGTGTCGCGAATTTGTGTCGCGGCTTTGTGTCCCAGATTTGTGTCCCGGATTGTGTCTCGGATTTGTGTCGCGGCTTTGTGTCCCAGATTTGTGTCGCGAATTTGTGTCGCCGCTTTGTGTCCCAGATTTGTGTCTCGGATTTGTGTCTCGGATTTGTGTCGTGGCTTTGTGTCCCAGATTTGTGTCGCAGCTTTGTGTCCCAGATTTGTGTCTCGGATTTGTGTCTCGGATTTGTGTCGTGGCTTTGTGTCCCAGATTTGTGTCGCAGCTTTGTGTCCCAGATTTGTGTCCCGGATTTGTGTCCCGGATTTGTGACTTGGCCAGAGACCCGCATGGTTTAAAGCAGCCACTGCGCGAGTGAGCGACACGCTCGCTCCTCGCCATTGTCGCGTTTGTGTGGGGGGAGGGGTGGGGGAGACATGGCCGACAAAGGGGTTACCGTGAATGATCGTCGCAGGTGTGACTCGGACACACCGCACGGTACGACGCTACGCGAACGCTTTCGTAAGAAATATTTTCTCCTTCTGCTACAGTCGGGGCAATCTTGGCGTTTGTGATGTATGCGCCTTCCTCGTCGCTGTAATGTACGCAATCTAAATTTCTGCATGGATAAATTTTGTCCGTTCTGCCACGGAGGAGAATTCCATCTTGAGTTTCAAAACTTAAGTCTTGGTTGACCGCGTGGCCCAGAGGTCATCTCCAATCCGCTCAGTTAACCTGGGCTTTCAAGTCTAGCGACCATATGGTCTCGGCCCAGTCACCAATGACTGATCAGCAATGCGTTATATTCAATTAGTTTTTTTTTATCTTGATTTAAGCAGAATTTCAGCTTGTAAAATACAGTTTGACTGCCATGCGACGTGAATATGCATCAGGGTGAGTGGGAAAGCACAGCGCCCTTGTGTGTGGAAAGGAGGTCAATTGAAGGCATCTCAGAAGCAGTTCTCTGATACCGCGTTCTGTGGACCGTTTCTTAATGCCGTGTGGTCCTCCGCTCTGCGAGAGATCCGAACGGGCACCTCGATCGTGCTCACAAAGCGGCTCCGACGGCGCACTGCTAATGAAGTTGGCAGGGAAGGGATTTTTTGTTTCTTTAAGTTCCCAATGATTAAGTAACTTGAAACGCGATTGCCAATCCGCCATGTCTCGTTTTGCAGCAAAGGAGAAGGGAGAGAAGAAGCTCTTTGGCTTTGCCTTCACCCCCCTCATGAGAGAAGACGGCACGACGTTGTCCGACGAAACGCACGAGCTCTACGTGTACAAGGTGATCCCCGACAGCTCGGTCCACAAAAAAAAACACACACAATCGCTTATAATCCAACAAATCAATACAAATCATCGCTACCATTTCACAGGTTCGCAGCACTCGCGCTACAAAAGTGAACTTCTTCCGAGTGTTTGTGCATTCACAAGCCTGTGCATTACCCGTCGTCGTTGCTCGTGTTAACGCCGGGGGTGAAAGCGCACTCGCGCTGCGCATCGGAAGGCGGCACGCGTCCGGACGATCGTTGCGCCAGCCGAGCTTTTCCTGGATCGTGCGCGGCATGAGCTTCGAGCGAGTGGCGCCGGTAGAAATCGGTAGCGGCGTTTTCCTTTCTGGCGCTCGTTGCAGAGGTTCTGCGGTTCCAAGCCCGGCGGGTCACGCTGGTCTAATGCCGCCGGTGGCACTCGCCGTAAATGCGCGCCGTCTGCGGAGACAGATGTAAGCATGGCACCCTTACGTTTAATAAGGAGGAGGAAGGCCTTCCCACACGGTGTCAGTCGTAGAGCTTGTCTGACCATACTTCACCACACCGGTCAGTGCCGAAAGGGAGTAGGCCATAGATTGGCGGGGCGGAAACCGAAACATAGGAACATCGCTCCTACTTGGCAGACCAGATGTCCATTTAGGTGGCGGTGCTGCGTGTACCTTGTTGCCTCACAGGGACGCCTCACCGCTGAGTGGTCCCGTTGGCTAGACAACATCAGGGCATTGGATTGGTCGAGCTTCGATGCGATGCACGGCGCTTTTGAGTTGCTGAGCGGTTTAATGGCCCCAAACGGTCATCCTTCGTTATACGGCAACTCAGTCTATGGAACGTCGCTAAATTAGCATTTCTAGATATAGGAATAGGTTTTACCCTTTTAACTGGCACAAAAACTGACACCTTTATTCAAGACATCATGTTTGCAATAACCACAACACAAGCAGTCAAAATGCAAACAAAAAAGACAACTCTGATAATAATATGCACTGTCCTTGAATTTGATTGGTCCACACCCGAGACAGCTTTTCTTAGAGCTGTACGTCTTTTGGCGTCTTCTGGTCCAACACCAATGGAGACTAGGCTCTAAGAAAAGCCGTCTCGGGTGTGGACCAATCAAATTCAAGGACAGTGTATATTATTATCAGAGTTGTCTTTTTTGTTTGCATTTTGACTGCTTGTGTTGTGGTTATTGCAAACATGATGCCTTGAATAAAGGTGTCAGTTTTTGTGCCAGTTAAAAGGGTAAAACCTATTCCTATATCTTGTTTCTGGCAAAGGAGGTCTCATAATAGCATTTATAGAATTTAGAATTTCTAAATTATAAAACAAATGTATGGGGAGGGTGGGGGGTGGGAATCAAACACTATATCCACGCCCGGCCGCCTTTGTCTCCCCAGTGTTGATGTTTACACACGGTGGCTTGCTCACATCGTGCGTGCCGCCGCGTCGTCTCGTCAGTGTGAGGAGAGTGCAGGCTTCAGCAACCCGGCCTACTACCTGAGCCTGCCGTGCTGCAAGGACGACTCGGGGGCGTCCGGGGCAACTGTGGGTCCCTCGGTGTCCACCACGAGCCTCGTGTACCCGCGCAGTCACAAGGAGTCGCTGTGGATCAGCACCCTGCTGTGCTCCACCAAGCTCACCCAGAACGGTGAGGCCACAGATAATGAGGGAGCTGCGAGCCGTGGACGGAATGTTGGGGCGATTTTTATTCATCATCATCATCACCGTCATCCTCATCTTCGTCTTCCTTTCCTTGACATTGACATCGTTTCATAAAAAAACGATATCACGGCAACCCTCCCCAACGCTCTACCGCCCCTCGCCACGCACAAACATACGCAGAGTAATGCACCGCCTCGTAAGTTGCCGCGAATTTGCAATGGCCGGTGGGTTTTTATCTCGCCCGTTGTGAAGAATCCTCGGCCGTTTACTCTGAGGTACAGACTTCTGCGGCAGAGTTTCGGTCAGTGCTTTTTGGTAATCCCCGTCGACTGTTCACGAGTGAAGATGTTCGGGGGGGGGGGCCAAGGTGTGCGAGCGACCCACTACTGAGCGCCCGATTTCAAGTGCCATCGGGCGTTTTAATATCGTTCTTTTTTCCTTCTTCTTTTTAGAAGACCTTCTCGCGCTCCTTAAATGGAAAGTTCACACCGACACTGTGCAAGACATCCTGGGCAGGCTGAGACAAGTGAAAGGAGAGGAAATCGTGAAGGTAGGCGGCAGCAGTGGTCAATTTGCCCGTATGATTTTCCGTTCTGAATCGCAGAGGTATGAAGTGTAAACAACAACCAACGCCGGCTATTTATTTTTTTAACTCGTCCGTGCAAACAATCGTTTGTACATTCCTACTTGAATTGGAGTGCCAATTAATTTCAAACTTGTCTTTGCAGTTTTTACAAGACATCTTGGACACTCTGTTCGCCATATTAGATGACAGCACCGAGAAGTACGGCCCTTTGGTTTTTCAGTCGCTGGTAAGTGACAGTTTCTGATTTCCCACAAAGTATATTCACCATGCGCTTGATTGCAGCGTTGTGGATTGTAACACCCGATCGCCACGTTGCCGAATCGCAAGCCGCAAAGGGCTTGACTGCGCCATTTATTCGAATTTTTTTAAGCAGAGCTATATCAGGCAAACTCATGTTACACCTTTTAATTGTCTCTTTGTTTTGCCAAACGTTGGCTGCTAGAGCTTTCATCGAAATCAGCAATAGCATGGGTTTGTTTTTGTCTGCGGCTGCAAACCAAATGTACGTTCGTGGAATGTGATTGCGTGCCTGCGTGTGTGTGTGTGTGATTATAATTCCAACCCAGGTCTTCGTCGTCAATTTGCTGCGAGACACAAAGTTTCTGCACTTCAGGCCTGTCATGGAAACTTACATCCAGAAGCATTTCGCAGGAGCGCTTGCCTACAAGTAGGAGTTCGCTGCACTTTCATCGCTGGCACGGTCGCCAACAGAGACTCGCATGAGCCACGAAATAGCCCCGCGTGATCCTCACAGTCGGCATCATTCTCACCGTCTGTGCAATGTCACTGATCCAGGTCATGTTTACCCGCATAAGAGTCGCGGCTCCTTTCCAACGACCACAAAGAGAGTTACATGCTATGTAGAAGGCCCATTAGCCCAAACATCGGCCCACTATACATTCTTTCAAGGTAGTAAGTCACGAATGTGTTGAGTTTTTTTTTTTCTTGTAACGAAAAGTTGATGGTGTGTCTTACCTCTCCCGTGCAGATTTTAATCCGGATGATACAGAATTAATGGCCGGCCACTTGGTGACTCGTGTAACCATAACGAGATGTGATTCATGCTGTGCACCGCACACAGGGAGCTGCTGCGCTGTATGAAGTGGTACCTGGATCGATCGCTGGACAGCATTCGACACGAGCATATTCAAGACGCCCTGAGGGTTAGTGGATGCTGTTTGGCGGGGTGTGGTACAGGTTGTGTGAAAATGAAACACCGACTGGGAACACCGTCCGTATTTACAAATCGGTGTTTTTTAGGAATAAGTGCAAAGGACCAAGTTACTGCATTTTTTTAATCTCTTTTTTTATTTGGATATTTATAAAACAAATTATACATGTCATATATATAGCTTTTAATAATACCGTACTCTCTGGATTGAAACACTCCTGAAAGTAAGATGCACCCAAAACATTTTTCTAAATGTGTATTTTACATAGCAGTCAACCCATACGGTTTACCCCGTATTCTTGTAGAGGGAAATTTAATTTTCAGATCCATACGGCATATAGCCGTTTCAATACGGGAAAAAAAAAACATTTATATTTGTGTTTCTCCCTTGTGATGGGACTTTGTAGGATGAACGTTGAGATTTATAAGGGTGACCAATAAGGTCTGAATTCGTATGTAATATGATAGGCACTTCTTGATTTAAAGCTTTCGTGACTGCAGTAATTGATATTCTTAGCTCTTTCGGTAAAGTCACGTTGTTTATTGTTTTATATATTTTATTATTTTATTGTTTCCCTTCAACGTGACTTTACCGAAAAAGCTAAGAATATGATAGGCACTGATAAGGGGTTGACAGGTATGATCTTAAAATCGGGAGAATACAGTACTATGGAGAAGATGATTACGGATGAGTTGAATTAAAATGTGGAGAAGATGTCTTCTGGAAGATTGTTCTGAATGGCCGATGTATCTTCTGTCCCCATGGAGTGGTTATGTATTGTTACGGAGAACCGTCTTCTGAAAAAATGATTCTGAAGACTTAGATTAACACGCGTCTCCTGGAAGACGATGTTTTATCCAGATTTTAAGAGGCACCCCTAACTCTGCTTTGAAATAAAATGGGGGGAAAAAATAACATCATATAAATCCAGAAAATATGGTAATATTGCTTCAGTGTATTCAGGAGATCACCACTGAGGATAAAGACTTTTCCAGATGGGACTTGCATTACCATATTTAATCTATTTCGTTTTAATTAGTGTTTTGCATTTAGATTTTTTTCCCCCGCGTTTAATTTTTCTGCGTGGAATTATTCACAACTAACGTGTACGTAGATTATCGTGAGTGCATCAGTGCCTGTTTGTACATTATAATGATGATCTGGAAGGAATATAAAATGACATCTGTCACACAATATATATTCGAGCCTGTTCTTACAATTAGAAAAATCTGAAAAGCAAACTGTTAAGTTGGACACTCAAAAAGTTCAGCGCAGAGGATGATTGTTTTTTCTTCTCACGCCAGGTTGGCCTAAAGTTACGAATGATTTCTTCATCACAATAAACACAAATGTACCGGCCCTCATCATCAATGAACCAAGTAAAGCCAAGAGAAAGCTCACAAGTAAAATTTGACCCCTGCTCACAAGTAACTTGCATTTAGTGTTCTTATTATTGTTTGCACACCAGCCCCCAGGTTATTGTCCTTCCCATTCTTACCGATGGGGACGGCAGGGCACGGGGGGGGTGTGACTCTAAAACGTAATATCACGGAAATATTTTGATTGTCCACTGCCCAATCTCGCTTCCTCTTGTTACCCGGAGCCTGGGCCTCTCCATGAATGCTGCACCGCCTGCACCCTCGGCAGCCGCTCTGCCGATGATGGCGCGGTGCGGTGAGGTTGTGTCCCCTCCCCCTCCCAACCGTTGACCGGAAGCAGCATGGCTACGTGTCTCGCCGTGCGCCGATTTCACTGTCCTCCTTCATAGGCGGCACGACCGCACGAACAGGAGCAGGTGACTTTGCCCAAAGGTGTCTCCGAATCAGAACCTTAATTTAGACTGTGTGGCATCCGATGAGCTATGAAGCTCTTGTTCACAGACGTCCAGTCATCCTCGTGCCACCCCCTCCATCGCCACCCCCCGACCGCCAAAAATTTGGCTTCTCCTTTTGGCAGGGGGCCCCCCGCTTTGGGCCACCCTGTACACTTCGGGTGGGGGGCCCGGGGCAGCCGCCCCCAACGCCCTTTGCTCAGGCAACTGGGGGACTTCCTTCTGTGGGCCTTTGGGCCTCTCTTGTTGCTGCGGACACATTCAGCGACACCGCCATTAAGTGACCCTCCGTGTGACAAAAAAAAACACGCCGCGCTGATCCCCTCTATCTGGTGCTGCCCTGCACCGACCCCCTCCCCCACCCCCCTGACTGGCTCAGGCCATGGAGTACCTCTTCAAGTTCGTGGTGCAGTCGCGCAGCCTGTACGCGCGTGCCACCGGCGGCTTGGAGGAGGAGGAGTTCCGCGCAGCCATCCGAGAGCTCTTCCACTCCATCAAGCTCATCCTGTGCCAGGACGGCAGGGACAACGAGGGGCTCGTCTACACGCAGGTGTCAGCTCGCCGCCTTGATCTACGCCCGCGAGCAAAAACTACAAACATTCCCCCCTCTCCCCGTGTAACCTGCACGGGCTGTCCGGAGCAGGTGCTGTTAACGAGCAGCACCTATGAATGTCAACACGGCACACGAGGGCATGGTGTGGCTAGCACCACGCTCGGCCATCTTTGTTCAAATAAATTAAATAACCCTGTATGATTTGTTAACATAAATGCCACAACTCGATACGTTGCGACTTTTGCCGACCTTTCCTATACTTTTCACTCCTATCGTTTTTTATATTGTTTGTTCTAACTTTTTGACCCGTCCCTGCTGATTCTTATTCTGATCCTGATTTGGGCCACCCTGTACATAACTGGGAGTCAAAAAAACGGGTTGGTCGACAAAGCTGTAAGCATTGAGCCCCACCACCCACCCATCCAATCAAGCCGACCTACCCACCATAATCCACCAACTCAAACCCACTCACCCATCCAAATCCACCCACTCAAACCCACCCACCTACCCACCCAAACCCACCCAACAACCCAAACCCACCCATCCATCCACCCAAAAACAACCAACCACCCAAACCCACCCAAAAACAACCCACCCACCCAAACCCACTCACCTACCAAAAAACAACCCACCCACCCAAACCCACCCACCACCACCGTCATCGCGCCCTCTAATTATATCCGCTGGCCCTGCAGGTGACGCTCCTTACGTCGCTGCCGGCCATCTACGAGGAGCTGCTGCGCATGTTCAAGTCGCGCGAGGTGGCCGACCTGGTGCGCGACGCACTGGGCAGCCTGCCCACGGTGCAGCATGCCGCGCCGGGCCTCGACACAGTGCGGCTGCAGTGCGTGGGGCGCACCGTGGAGAGCAAGCTCTTCCTCAACCCGGGTACGACGACAGACCCTGAACCCTGTTCCCTGAAGTGCCCTGAAGTCCTCTCTTGTCGCGATACGGTAACGCAACCCCCGGTTTACGTCAGTGGGGATGCATTCCTGAAAGGTGCGGTGAGTGTCCAAAATTACGTAAATCGCACCTCCGATTAGCACGGTTGGCTACGTACGGTGGGAAAGAAGTTTCACGTACAGTGAGGGAAAAAAAGTATTTGATCCCCTGCTGATTTTGTACGTTTGCCCACTGACAAAGAAATGATCAGCCTATAATTTTAATGGTAGGTTTATTTGAACAGTGAGAGACAGAATAACAACAACAAAATCCATAAAAACGCATGTCAAAAATGTTATAAATTGATTTGCATTTTAATGAGGGAAATAAGTATTTGACCCCTCTGCAAAACATGACTTAGTACTTGGTGGCAAAGCCCTTGTTGGCAATCACAGACGTCAGACGTTTCTTGTAGTTGGCCACCAGGTTTGCACACATCTCAGGAGGGATTTTGTCCCACTCCTCTTTGCAGATCTTCTCCAAGTCATTAAGGTTTCGAGGCTGACGTTTGGCAACTCGAACCTTCAGCTCCCTCTACAGATTTTCTATGAGATTAAGGTCTGGAGACTGGCTAGGCCACTCCAATACCTTAATGTGCTTCTTCTTGAGCCACTCCTTTGTTGCTTTGGCCGTGTATTTTTGGTCATTGTCATGCTGGAATACCCATCCATGACCCATTTTCAATGCCCTGGCTGAGGGAAGGAAGTTCTTACCCAAGATTTGACGGTACATGGCCCCGTCCATCGTCCCATTGATGCGGTGAAGTTGCCCTGTCCCCTTAGCAGAAAAAAAAACCGCAAAGCATAATGTTTCCACCTCCATGTTTGATGGTCGGGATGGTGTTCTTGGGTTCATAGGCAGCATTCCTCCTCCTCCAAACACGGCGAGTTGAGTTGATGCCAAAGAACTTCATTTTGGTCTCATCTGACCATAACACTTTCACCCAGTTGTCCTCTGAATCATTCAAATGTTAATTGGCAAACTTCAGATGGGCATGTATATGTGCTTTCTTGAGCAGGGGGATCTTGTGGGCGCTGCAGGATTTAAGTCCTTCACGGCGTAGTATGTTACCGATTGTTTTCTTGGTGACTATGATCCCAGCTGCCTTGAGATCATTGACAAAATCCTCCCGTGTAGTTCTGGGCTGATTCCTCAACGTTCTCATGATCATTGCAACTTCACGAGGTGAGATCTTGCATGGAGCCCCAGGCCGAGGGAGATTGACAGTTCTTTTGTGTTTCTACCATTTGCGAATAATCGCACCAACTGTTGTCACCTTCTCACCAAGCTGCTTGGCAATGGTCTTGTAGCCCATTCCAGCCTTGTGTAGGTCTACAATCTTATCCCTGACATCCTTGGAGAGCTCTTTGGTCTTGGCCATGGTGGAGAGTTTGGAATCTGATTGATTGCTTCTGTGGACAGGTGTCTTTTATACAAGTAACAAGCTGAGATTAGGAGCACTCCCTTTAAGAGTGTGCTCCTAATCTCAGCTCGTTACCTATATAAAAGACATCTGGGAGCCAGAAATCTTTCTGATTGAGAGGGGTCAAATACTTATTTCCCTCATTAAAATGCAAATCAATTTATACAAATTTTGACATGCGTTTTTCTGGATTTTGTTGTTGTTATTCTGTCTCTCACTGTTCAAATAAACCTACCATTAAAATTATAGACTGATCATTTCTTTGTTAGTGGGCAAACGTACAAAATCAGCAGGGGATCAAATACTTTTTTCTTTCACTGTACGTACGTACGATCATAGCGATTTACAGGCTTGGTGGAGGCGAAGGCCGAGGCGACGGGTGCGAAAGAGAATGGACGATGCTGTCAGCGACATAAGTGTAGGTTGAGGCGACGCTAAACGGGTGGCAGTGTTAATAATAAAGTGACAAAGAAATTTGCGAAATGACGTTAAAGGGGGAGATGTAAATCGGGGTTTTGCTGTATTTAACACTGAATGCTGACTGGGCCTGTGTTTGCTGTGGGCGTGTGATGAATCATTTATTTGTCAGTTAAAATGTGTTCTTACACTCAAGATATATGCAAGATCGTGCGTGTAAGAATCGTATGTTCACGGTTTGTTTTCAAATATCACAAAATATACAGATGTCATGAAAACGATCAGTTCAGGCTAATTGGGCACATATAACTGTACAAACTCGACATAGAAAATGGGCCTACAGGCCTCAGCTTGCTTCCTGCTTCCCAACAAAGCCGCGGCTTCCGTCGTTGTGTGTCAACGCCCACGCACGTCGGTGTTGAAGACAATAACGCCGTTTTCAAAACTGCACTGAATTATTTGTCTCTGACGGTTCTCGCCTGGTGAATGTTTTTTTTTAGTTTTGTTGAGCATTGCAAACAACAAGGGCAAGACGGTTTGTAACGAGGCACGAAATCGAAGCAAATATTCAATTCGATCGAATGACAGCCTAGGACCGTCACAAGTCTTTGCATCTCTGTGTGCGGTGGGGGGGAGGTGGTTAGGTGGGGGGGGGGGGTGTAAATTAATGGGCAGACCTTTAAGTGCTTTGTATTTAACCGGTTTACGTGGTGGGGTGCCCCTTGTGTCGGCGGCAGAGTCTCGGCGATTCCTTTTGCCGGTGGTTCTCCATCACATCCGCATGCACCTGGAGCATCAGAAGGAGCCCCTGGTCTGCTCGGGAATCCTCAGCAACATCTTCTCCATCATGAAGAAGAGCTCCGGCGTAAGGGCTCGGCAAACAATTTCAGCGGCGAAAAACACCGCGGGCGAACTCCCCTTTGTCATGTCCGTCTTTCTCCTCGTGAAAAATGTAATGGTATTCATTGCGAAAAAAAGTGATCTCTCTAGAGAGTCCCTATTGTTTCACATCAGCCGAATAGAGGTGGGCGTCCCCACATGTTTACCGTACCGCATGAAATCAGCCAATTGACTAACTGTTGCGTATCGATTTAATACTGCTGGGTAGACAGAGAGAGGTGGAGGTGGATTGAACACATCTGGCCATTGTTTCAGCTGCCGTGGCGGGAGGACAAACCGGCCATCTCAGGATTTCAACGTTCAGCGCGTTAGCCATTGTACCACAGCGGTGTCCCTAAACTTAAGTGGTGCCGATTTAATCATAGGGCCAACGAAAGTGAATTACGTGATAACCCTCTCAGAGGAAAATGTTATCACATATTTCACTTTTATTGACCCATATAAATAAATTGGTACCGCTCTCAGTTTGCCACTTCTGATGTTACTGGTAAGTGTGATATTACGGCGTGGCTAGGGTTGCCACCTGTCCTGGGATTCCCATGAGCATCCTCCTTTGAGGTCACCGTTATCCTGGAAAACATGTACGTCTTCCCAGGAGATTAAAAGTCCTGGGTTTGTCAGTTTATTGCCACTCAAGACAACGCATTTCCTTCGTAGTGTCCCCCATCTTCCAATATTGTGAGACATCCTTCTGCCCCACGATATGTCCCGGTCTGGCCCCGTGAGTTGCATTGGTGAAGCGATGTGCGTGCATGCGTGCGTGCGGTGATGGCCTGGCAGGACCCGCGGGTCTGCGAGGAGGTGGACATGATCGTGGAGAGCTTGCTGGAGGTGCTGATGAAAACCGTCGCCGGCGTCATGAGTAAAGGCCTCCGACACGAGCTTGTGGTCAGCAACACTCGTTGTTCGTTGGGCAGCGACGTGGCCAAACGGTTGCGCGGTTCACACTCGTGGCAGAGGCTCGTGGTTCGAGACCACGGCCGCCCCGGTTAATGCTGCGGCTGTATTCAGCATTGAATGCGTGCCATCCGCTCCATAGTGGCCCTCAAAGGTTCCGTGATGTTGTTTTAAGAGAGTACGCCATGTGTGCTGGCATCATGGTCAAACACTTCCAAGCTTGAAAACTTACTCTCAAACTGGGAAATTGGAAAATACTTAGCAGGATTCTCCACAAATGTAGTCAGCATATTTAAGCATATCTGCTCACATGTTATATTCTTAGCTCTTTCGGTAAAGTCACGTTGAAGGGAAACAATAAAATAATAAAATATATTTTATTGTTTTATATATTTTTTATTATTTTATTGCTTCCCTTCAACGTGACTTTACCGAAAGAGCTAAGAATATGAATTACTGCAGTCACGAAAGCTTTAAATCAAAATGCTCACATGTTCTGTACCCGATACATCTTCCGATATTAGGAAGCAACTGGAGTGATGCGCTTTTAAATCTAGATTGAAAACTCGTTTCTTTCAAACTGCTTTTTGTGTTTAGTTTGTTGTCCTTCCCCCACACCTCCGATTAGCACGTGTGGCTGCGTACGTTGACATGATATTAATTGTATTCCAATTCTGCGATTGGTGCCATGCCAAGAGCTCGAGTGAACATTCATAACTTTCACAGCGCAGTGAATCATTCTATGTGTTGCATAATGGCTTACGGAAACGGATATCTCAGAATTACTTCTGAAATTCCTTGACGGTGTGCTTTTTTATCCCTATAGTTGGGGACACATTCAATTCTAACACTCTCTGTAAATGATTAGAAAACGCATTGCAACAGGAAAATCCATGCGATCTGAAAAAGAAAAAGATGTAATGTCCACATTTGGAAAACGTTTATTCGGTGGTCTCAACGAGAATTAAATTCATAATATCGTTTTTTTTGGTTAGATCACGTAAATATATAAATGTGTCACCACCTGACACAGCCAATTAGTAAGGTTTGTAACATAAACAGAACGTGCCAATTCGTTACTAGTACAGCACACTTGTGTCTTGGAGAGCAAATCCACAACATTTACAATCTGAGTACGACGTTTCGCCAGTAATTACAACTAGCTTCATCAGCCAAATTTTGCGGAGAAATTCTCCTGTTTCGTTCCTTAAATAGAGGAATAGGTGTAACGACATCATTTGTGAGCCCTTCACGTGCGAAGGGGGTGGTGGGGATTAATGAATGCATCTAAATTACAATGGGTACCCATTATGAAATGTTGGTGTCGATGTAAGTGCATTGCGAGACATTGTGTTGTTAGTTTTCCATTGCGCATCGATGAAGTACCTTGCCATGTGTGTTTTCAAGCAAGACCTGTCATTATAACAAAAAACCTTGGGGAAGGAGGCATTCAGTAGTGTCAACGAAGGGAGTGGCCAGAAGGTGGCAAGGCAAATTTGAGTCATCGATCAGAGAGCGGAGCCAGCACGCACCACAAGAGATTCCGGGTTTAAATCCAGGTTGCAGCCAACCATTGTTTATTCAACCGTGCTGCTCAGGTGCAGTCTTGTCTTCCGTTGACTGCACGAAAATCCCATCGCGTCGAATTTAGCCTTTCGCTTAAATTTCCTTAAATCCCGGATGGGAGACCTACGATTTTCAGTTGGAGTGGCATGCGACGAGCAACAAATACTTGTTAGGGCAAATGACAAAAAAAGGCGCGTGGATGGAAAAGTCCCCGCCGAAGTGATCTCGGAAGCAGTGCTGCAACGCCACCTTCTGTTGGCACCGCTCCGACACGAGGTGATGCACTTCTCGCCGCTGAGAGCTCCCCGGTGATGAAAAATGTCTTCGCCTCATGAAACGACGTCGATGACACAATTTTGCAGTAATTGGCGGGAGAAGGGGGGGGGGTTGCATCTAAAAAAACGACGTCATTAGCTCCCAACGCCTGGGTGCATTTGAATGCTTTGTGACTCAAAGGCAATGGGATCTTTAGTCATAGACAATTTAATCCAAGTCAGCGTGTCCTTTGTTCCAACAGCTGGAAGCCCATTGAGGCTCATTCTTTCTTCCACGCGAGAGACCTGGGGAAATTGACACGTGGTTATTTTTGTCGTTGTTGCTGCAGGGAGAATATGTGTCATGCCTGCTGTCTCTGCTCAGACAGATGTCTGACAGACATTACCAGCAGCTCCTCGAAAACTTTTCCTCCAAAGAATCGCTGAAGGTAATTGGGCACACCGTGCACAAACCCGTCTTGCGTTGCCATGGTACATGAGGAGACAGTGTAAAACACAAATATCCTTTCGGTCCATCGGCCTCTTGGCCTTGCAGGCCAACATTTATATCACGTGGCATTTGTCCGAGCAACCTATCAATATTCTTTGGGTCTTTCGGTAAAGCCACGTAGATAGAAAAACAAATATTACGACCTTTCGATCGCAACACAAGCAATCGTCACCTGATGACGATTGCTTGTGTTGCGATCGAAACGTCGTGATATTTTTTTTCTATCTACCTGGCTTTACCGAAAGACCCAAAGACTATTAATTCCTGCAGTCACGAAAGCTTTAAGTCAAGATTTAACCTAACAATATTTAATATCGAGTGCTCATATCGATAACATCTGCTAATCCAGCAGCAATTGTTTAAAAAGCTTGACACAGCTATTGAGTCTCAGACGGTAGAATCTAAACGAGGGATTTTCGTACTGGAGGTTCATCTTCATCTGTTAACAACCGTAAGTCCCAACAGACGTTATTTACCTCTCTGTACAAATTGCCCCAACGTCCACATGCCATTCATTAGCACACATCCACACAGTTACATTCGTATTATTTATGAAACTGCTTGTAATGTGGTTCCGCTCGAGATTAATGCGCACATATCCAGCTGCGATGGTGATCCCGCATTCTGTGATGCCGGTGCAGACTTACGCGTTGAACATTTTAACGTCGGGCTCTGCTTGTGCTTCCAGCAAGCGGTTTCATTCCAAGAGAATTCGGCGCTGCTATTGGCCCGGCAGGGGAATGTTATCGGCTTTGGCGGTGCTGCTGCTGTGGTGTAACGGTTAGCGGCACAGGACTTACAATCCAGTGGGGTCAACCGGTTCAATCCAACCTCCCGGCGCAGCAGTTTAAACAATGCTGCTAATTTATTAAATCCCACTCCCCCCCCCCGCCTCTGTCTACCCCAGCAGTGTCAATGGGTACGCCGCTGTCGATCAGCAAGTCGCGTGCGGTGGGGTAAAGCGTGGGTAACCCCCCACCCCCCTCTTCCAAGATGTCTGGCCAGCCTGGGAAAGCAGGCTCTCTCGATCTGCCCCGGGCTAGTTAATTGCAGGGAGCCGCATCTTTAATGTCGAGGCTTCCCGCAATTAATGACTGCATTATGTTGCGTTCCCGGTATTCGTAAGCTCCGCTCGTTAGGCTGCTCTTGACAAATCCTCCAACATCCCTTATTCCACGGAGGATCGATTTGCCCCGGGTGAACGGCAGTTACTCGACAAACCACTCAGAGCCGCAGCGAGCGCTGCTGGGCGTCCCTTGTTGTGCATTCGGACGTGCCCCCCCCCCCCCCCACCATCCAAATCAATGCTTGTAGGACAAATTACAGCGCCGGGGCAAGCAGTCTGAGTACTCAATGTACTGTGACATAATAGAATCCAGCATGTGGATAATGCGGCGGGCGCAAATCTGTCACAGACGCCTGACATTTTGGCCGAGTCTGGGATGTCAAAAAGCGCCGCCCTATAAGCAAACGCAATTTGTAATTGGTGGCGTCATGGCCGACGGTCTTTCCTCACTTGCCGCTGCTGTGAATAAGGGCCATTGCCCAAAACTTCGGACATTACATTATTCCCCAACCTGCCCCCCTCCCCCGCCTTTTATAACACTACCCTAAAAAGCACCCGTAAAAAATAAAAATACAAATTGTTCGGTGACGTTTCGGGTAGCAGTCCTTCATTGTGAAAAAAACATCTCTCTCATTGCTCCAAACATCAAGTGGCATACGTGTTTTTGTTTTCCTTTTAGGTTAGTGTTAAGTGATGGACATTGAGTTTTTGTTATCTATTCGAATGCACTACTTCCAACACAGTGTCACAATGTGTGTGCGTTTGTGGGAGGAGCGGTGGTGTAGCGGTTAGCCACGCTGCGCTACGAATTTGGCGACCTGGGTTCGATTTTCGCTCATGGCCAACACCAGTGACGATTATTTTAACCGGTCCTGGGCCTCCCGTAGGTCGACTCAGCCTCAAATGAGTACCTGGTGCGATGTGTAAACATCGCCACTAGGGAGACAAAGGCGGGCAGGCGTGGTGTTGGCCATGCCGTGCCGGCCTTCATAGGTGCTCGCTAACAGCACTTGCCTCAACAGTCTGTTAAGGCTAACAGGGGATCTTTTTTCTTTGTTTGTGTGCAATGGGACACTTTTTGGCCACTGCAGGAATTCGTCCTTCAGATCTTCTCCGTCTTCAGCATCCTCATGAAGCAGGAGGTCTTCCCGCGTGACTGGATGGTTATGAGGATGGTGATCAGCAGGTGATGAGCCTCATATCAGCATTTCACGGAGGGAATAGATTTGTTTTTTTTTTCTTTCCTTCGGTTCAAGCACCAGACAGACCGATGGACAGAGAGGTTTGTTTGTGACCAGGTAAGAACCCATTGAGGCTATAATTACAAAACCGACATTTTATAAGACCGAAACAGGAGGAGGATTTTTCTACAACTCTTGCGATCGAGGTTGGCTCAGGTTAACACGTAGGCTTTCGCAACCAATATTATCCATCGGGCGACAACCAGAATTGGCCATCGCCTGATGGATAATATTGATGAGGCTGGTTGTAATTACCGGCGAAATGTCGTACTCGAATTGTCAACGGTGTGGGTTTACTCTACCAACACACCGGTGTAATGAACTAGTAACAAATCGGCATGTTTTGTTTACGTGACAAACCTTTCTAATTGGCTGTGTCAGGTGGTGGCGGGTTTTAATGACACATTTATATTTACGCGATCTAAAACACACAAACAATCTAATACACAAACGGTGACGGGTGGATTATTACATGGCAGGATCCTGAGAAGTGGTGGCGATGGCTTGTAGAGGCCTTTATCCAGCAGTGGATTGAACATTGCAGATGTTAATTGTGATGATGATGGTGATGATAATAGCGATGATGATGATGATGCATATCTGTCAACCCCTTATCAGGGCCTACCTTATTACAGACCAATTCAAGCCTTATTGGTCACCCCGTGTCCTTATAAATCTCAACGTTCATCCTACAAAGTCCCATCACAAGGCAGAAACAACACAAACAAATAAACATATAAATTCTGCATATAAATAAACATTTGTTTGTGTTTTGGTTGCCTGTGTTGAAACGTCTGTACGCCGTATGGACCTGAAAACCACATTTACTTGTCCAAGAATACGGCTAGACCATATGGGTTGACAGATATGATGATGATATAAACAATCACAGAGATTTAGCAAATAATGAAGTTTTTTTTCATGTAAATTCTCTATTAAACAAAATGATTGCCAGTGTAAATTAAACAATGCAGCACTCCCAGTGGCCTTCACTTTGGGGTCCGCTATGACAACATGGTTTAGAGCCACTGGTCTTGAAGCAACTCGTATCGTGTCATGGGATGGCTAAAAATATTCTTTACGAGGTTTTTTTTGTTCTTGTCATAAAGTGGTATGAGATGGGGGTTTTCTTTAATGGAATATCCAATAGGGTTCCAATATAACTTTACAGGGAATAGCCGTGGAAAGCACCGGGTGGATACAGTCAATGTTTATGGCATAGAGTTTATATTGTCTTATAGCCCTTTGGAAGTTTTCATTCGGTTGTTTGGGTGCCGCGGTGGCGAGATGTTAAGTACCTCGCCTGGTATACAGGAGATCGTGGGTTCGATTCCGACCCTGTGTCACAATTGTGTGTTTGGAGTTTGCATGTCTCTCTCCTCGTGGCCGCGTTGATATTTCTCTCCAGGTCCTCCCGGTTTTCTCCTTCCACATTTAGAATCAATGTGTGTTTGAGAGTATTTGGCTGCTATATATGTTCCACACGACGATAAGCCACTTAGTTGAGCTATCATTTGTGATAGCCAGGTCGCGTCTGAAAAAAAAAAGCTATATAGCTCAGCAGGAACCTTACCTGGTATGAAAACAAAAATAGTTTGCATTTGGTCCAAGGAGGCTTACTCGGCTAGAGGGAACGGTCTCTTGGAGAGTGACGCGGCCGAGTGGGGTCGCGCGTTTTGACGGTTGTTGCAAAGGTTACCTGGTTAAGCACAACGGGGCCTCCCTGGTTAATACCGTGGTAGGGGTGGTTTGGGGGGGGGGGTGTTTGTAAAAACAAAACTGCTTCGTCGGCTCCGAGTTTGACGTTAAAGGCCCCGTCGGCGATATTCAAAAACAAAAGGAGCCCGTGTGTGCCGGAACCGCTGTTTATACTTGCCAAATTTGAAAGAATTGCTCACAAATTAATTAATTTGGTGAAACAATTGAGTTATATCACCCCCCCCCCCCCGAATGACATTGCTTGGGGAGGCCTTCATCCAGCAGTGGATTATAAGGGTTGTGAATTATATATATGTGTGTGTGTAATGTGATTGTGTTGACGTGTGTGCGAGCGTGGTGCTGGCTACCCGTACCCTCGTGTGCCACAGTGCCGGCCTCCATCGGTGCTCGCTCACAGCACTTGCCCTGACATTCCGTTAAGGCTACACGGGGGATCTCTTTTTTATCTTTGTAGTGTAATTGTGACGACGATGAAGCAACTGAGCCCAGCTCTCCATCAGAACTTTGGCAATGAATCCTTTGACATTCAGGTAAGGCACGGTGATGACGATGGTGATTTATGTAAGTTGATAATAATTACTTGAAGGATAGTAATAATGTTGATAATTATTTATAATGATAACAATAATTAATTATTATATTTGGCGATGGTGATGATCATGAAGATGGTGGTGGCTATGATGTCGATGGCAGTTGATGCATAGCGATGATTGATTATAACGATAATGATCATCTGATGAGTGTCAAATTATGAATGACGATTACAATAATTTTTGATGTTGATAGTCATAATTGTTGAACGATGATTATAGCAATGAGCATGACAATGAATGACTGATGATAATTGGTAATAATGATCTCACAATGATGATGGATTCTTATTTTTGTTGACGATGATTATGAATATTATTTTTTATGACGATGATCCATGGACGAAGTTGATTATGATGGTTATGTCCGAAGGTGACCGCAGTGATGATTGCGTGGAAGACAGCGACGTTTCACGATTGTTTCACAATAACACGTCACTTCACTCCGACAAGACTCGACTCTGCGCATTCTTTGCCCGTGGCTTTGGCAGATCTGGACGTTTTACTTCTCACTCGCGGTGCTCTTCATCAACCAGCCGAGTCTGCAGCTGGAAGCCTTCAGCCCCCTGAAGAGGAAGCAGATCCTGAGCAAGTGAGTTGCACCGTGGTGACACTCCGCCTGGCAAAAGGAAGCTTGTGGAGGGATTTTGTATTTTCCTTTTGCTTGTTGTGGTTAAAGTTCAAATTTATTCATTTAACCTGGGTCACAAACAAATTACAAAATCAACCGCGTAAGTTGAAGTACAGCAATGAAGTTAAAGAGAAGTCACGGTCACAAACAACTTCGTGCAGGACAACAAAAAATGTTTTTTTCCCCGGTCACAAAAATTGTCTCGGAACAAATTACAGGTCGAAAGAACCCTAAATGCCAACGGCCAGCAACCGTCCGCGGATAGGACACAGTTAAAAAAAATATATCGAGTGTTGTGGCATCGTTAAATAATGTAAAACATCTGCGATATTAATAACCTCCGAGATTGGCCTGCCTGCCTGCCTGCCAGTAGTGCCTTAAATATTAAGGAAGGACAAAGCGGACGCTGCAAAAAATCCACTGGTTTGACAAGATGATGATCTCGCGCGTTGTTGTGTGCATCTCTACAAATTGTGCACGTAAAGCCGTAAGCTACTCTAATAAATCATCGTCATCTTGCACCTAACGTACGCGGGAATTCTTCCATAAATTCCCTGATTAACTGGTCATATTATTGACTCCGCTAATTAATTTGCTTACGGTTTATATATACATAAATTTGTGGCTAGCTCGCACAATCCGAGATACTGCACCTTATTTTAAAGTGTGCGATTGTGGAGATTACAAGAGGTCACACAGACCATTTGACATGTCAGTTATAGCGGGGTTGGACAGAAGATTACGTAAGGGTGCGCAAAGGAGATATGGCATTCAGGACGGACTAAGAGGGTAAAATGCAGGGTCATGCATCAGACTTAAGTCTTAATAACTTAGCTGCTGTCATGTTTTAACAAGATTCTTTCTGTCCAAGTATCATATTTATACTTGCACCAAAATGTATGTCGCTGTGCAAATGAACATACGTGTACATTTATTTTTAATCACAATATGGCTCTGGTATATTTTTTATGTTTTAATCAAAAACGCTTTAGGGCCATTTTATTAAAAACATATCTTATATACAGATGAACAAACCAGCTTTTACCAACTCGTACACTGAATTACGTTTGAGATTTGTGGTTCCACACTTAGACGCACAAAAATTACCTCTTGCAACGTGTCACGCCATTCGACTGGCAGGAGCTCTCGAGATCCCCTCGAGCAGCTATATTGGCCTACTCTTCCACACTGACCAGACATCTCAGAGGGGGTCTCTAGGGCTGCACCTTTTGCCATGACCACCTTGGCGAAAGATAAGTAAATATTACCGTGCTCCGCGTCTGGTTGCTGTTGTGTTGCGCACAGGTATGGAGACATGAGAATCCTCATGGCCCATGAGGTCTTCAGAATGTGGCAGAGCCTTGGTGAGTCCGCACAAAGCCACTCTGTGGTCACATTAACGGTGCTGAATATGCGTGTACATCTATGCACATCTGTGTGTGTCGGGCGTGGTGCTGGCCACCCACACCCTTCGTGTACCGTGCCGGCCTTCGTAGGTGCTTGCTGACAGCACTTGCCCCAGCAGTCCTGTAAGGCCATACGGGGGATCTTTGTCTTTGCGTATGTTGTGGGGAGCGGTGGCGAGGCGGTTGGCACACCGCACTGCGAGCAAGGCATCTCGAATTCAATTCCCGGTTACGGCTAACATCATGGGGCAATTATATGAACCAGTCTTGGGTCTTACCCAGGTCAGCTCCGCCTTAAGTAAGTGCCTGGTGTGATGTGTGAATATCAGCACTGGTACGAAGCGCCCCAGGTGTGGTACTGGCCACACCACCTGCCGGCCTTAATAGGCGTTCACCCCCAACAACGATCTGCAGAGAATCTATGCAGGGGGACGTTGTGCTTCGGTGGGCATCATTGTCACGTTCACAAAGGATCTGTCTGCACCGCTGAAATAAGTGATATGTAACACGAATGAGGGCTCGTGAGAAATGGTAACATTATTTGGGTCTTTCGGTAAAGTCACGTAGATAGAAAAAATAATAACAATACAATTATTAAAAATAAAATGAAAATAATGTGAATACAAAATAATAAAAATATCACGACGTTTCGATCGCAACACAAGCAATCATCATCAGGAGAAAAAAAAGGGGGCAAGCTGCTGAGGCAGGCTGTTTTAAAGGTTTGAAATGGGTGTAGCCCAAGGGTCATAAACGAAGTGGGTGGGGCTTGTAATGTTAGTGTGAGACATTTAACCTGTTAATGTAAAATCAGAGATTAGCATGTCAATGTAAGATCGCTGCACCACCACCACCTCGAGGACACGATCGACGGTGGTTGTGTAGTGTGAGACATTTAACCTGTTCGAAAACAACTGCCAACATCGGAAGGTAGGATGGAAACATCACAGCCAGTTATGACTTAAACTGGTTAATAACGTATTTCCAATGATTGCTCAGTTTGTACCCATCTTCTTGGTTGAAATTGTGTCTGTGTCTATATATTTGGATGGCTTCATGAACGAATCTTTGGTGATAGCCAGTGAGTTTGCAGAGTACCTTCGTCTTGGAGAAATTAATTTCGTGTGAGCCCACCGCATTAAAACAATGATCAGTCACGGCCGAGGTATTGGTTCTACCGTGTTTCAGATCTGCTGTATGTTCACGAACACGGTCCGAGACATGTCGCTTAGTTTCCCCAATGTAACTACTGCCGCAGACACAGCTTAGTTTGTAGATGCCGGGGTATTGCATGTCAGGGATCACATCCTTCACAAATGGGATCAGATCACGAATTTTATGTACTGCGTTAAATCGAACCTGGATGTTGTGTTTGCTCATGATTTAGGAAATCTTTTTGGTGACTCCTGCTATATATGGCAAGGTGATGGTTTTGATTGGGTCAGATGTTTCTTTTCCCAACGGTTGGGGTGAAAGCTTTACGGATTGTGTGGTCTGAATATCCATTCTTCTTGAGGGCTTGGTGTACGTGCTCCAGTTCACTGGTTAGGTGGTGATGGTCGTAAATACATTGAGCTCTACGGTGTCGAGTTTTGATGAGGGAATTCTTCTGGGATGGATGGTGGTGGTAATAATTCGTTTTTTTTGTTATCACCAGGAAAGGGCTTGACAGGCAGGTTGAAACATGTTATAAATAGAAAGACGATTTGGAGGGAGCTGGTGTGTGAAAAGATTTTGTTTAATTCACTCTGCGACTGGAACAAAAAAAAACTTTCAAAGCCAACTCAAAGGCGCGCGTCTCCTGTGCATCAAAACTCCTCGGCGTGGATGATTGAACGTCTTGCAAAAAAAAGGCATTATCGCGAGTTTCTGGACCGCTCGCTCTCCGTTGCGTTGGTGTCTCGCGGGCAGAGTGGTGCTCTCAATGAATGCAGGAACGGGCTCTTGGCCAATATTTCAACAATCCTTAAGTGGGCCATCCCCCATTAAAATGTGATGCACAGTGGATAGGCTATTTAGTTTGCATTCGGACCACTGCTCATCCGCATGCAAGGCCATCGACAGGGATGGTGGGGTGGTGTAGCAGGTGGGGTCAATTGCTCCCGGGACTCTCATCCAAGAGGGCATCAGAAAAGCGCCAAGGGGAGCCTCATCTGGCATTTTCCCCCGGGCCTCCATAAACCTTTCGGTGGCCCTGTGCACAACCGTTAACAGTCTCTTCTCCTGAACCTGCATGTCTGGGTTGTTGGTGGTTTCCCTTACCTCGGATTGAATTGGGGCGGCGACGTGGCTGAGCGGCAGTGCGATTTTGCCACTCGTTGCAGACGTTACCCGTTCGAGACCAGTGGCCACCCTGGTTAATGCTACTGGTGAGAAGTGCGGACCACGTGTGCCACAGAACACGGTCCGAATTGACCAAGTTTGAAAATTTACACAAACCCGTTTGTTGTCCTTCCCCCGCACCTCCGATGAGCACGGTTGGTCACGTACGGTGTGAAAGAAGTTGGGAAAAGCCACACATCACCATTGCCCCCCACCCCCCCCCAACGACTGCAAACTTCAATCGTCTATGAATCACAGCACCATTGTGGTAGCCGTGCAGTATATGGCTACCACAATGGCGTAGCAAAAAAAAAAACACGCGTACCGATGAATTCATTGGAGGAATCCCGCCGAATGTATCCGTGCCAGGGGACCACAAGGCTCACTTCATCCCCGGGCTGCTGGGCCCCTTCCTTGAGGTGACCTTGGTGCCACAGACAGAGCTGAGGCGCGTGCTCATCCCCATCTTCCACGAAATGATGGACTGCGAGCAGAGGAAGAACGGCTCCTTCAAGCAGGTGACGTCATGGCCAGCGGGACCACAACATTAAAACAAATCACGAGGGAGCAGGTGGCCAAGTTGCTCGCGGGGGGCTTGCGGTAGCCGTGTCGTATTTAGGGTTCCCACCTGTCCGAGTTTTCCCCAGGATCATCCTCTTTTTCGAGGCAGCTGCTGTCCTGGAAAATATGTGAGTCTTCCAGGGACATTAAAAGTCTCAGTTATTGGCAATCATCATAATAATAATAATAACATTACACCGTTCAGGACAATGAGATATTCTTATTTTTGTGATGAGTCCTGGTTTCTGGTACATCAGTTTGCCATTCCGAGCCATATTACTGAGCTGGCATCACTGAGGTGCTGGATTCTGTCGCGGGCAGCCACCCACGATTAAAGACAGTCCCAAACTGTTGATAGATAATGGTCTCAGACCGGCCACCCAATCACGTGAAGTAGTCTTGCCACAAATGTGGTACTCTGTGCTGGCCGTGAATTTTTTTTCTTCCAAAAGGCTGTTCTTTTGCTTCCCATTATAGTGCTGTTTCGGTATAATTACCGGCAACAATCCAAAAAATTAAATCACTCAACATTATCGAGTGCTTGGGCTCCTGCAGTCACGTGACATGCTTTGTAAAGCGTTGTTGTTTTGGTTATTCTCAAATTGGGTTAATGATGCTCTTCACTGGCAAGTTGAGCTCCATCATGTGCCAGTGATGAACGTGAATTTGACTTTGCAACATCAGCTTGGCATGCAACGGCTCATCGAGCGATTGAAAACCATTAGCAATGCTAATGCGATACATGCAGTGAATTGTGCATATGACAATAGATCATTACGTGCCATGTAAATTGCATCCAAATAATATACAATTGGCAGTACAATATGGATTTGTGTAGCGTGTAAATGCGACTGCATGTCAAGATGCTGTACAGATGCACAGGCATGCATCATGGGGATGCCGGGGAGGTGTTTATTTTGTGTTTATAATTGAGGAACGATTGTAATCACGGCTACATAATCACAATGTGGATTTTAGCGCGTTTTAAATACCCATTCTGCATGAAATTCCTATACGTTAGGCTCTGACGCATTTCACATTGTTCAAATCGGCTTTCGCTTTATTGCTATGCGCACTGTCAATTCCCCCCGGTATATAGCGGGCGACTCCTCCTCATGCCACTTGATCATTCACACAACAAGCAGAAGACACTGGATGGTAAATGCAAGGTGAGAATGAATCGACCCTTGATTCGAATCACGACAATTGATCAAATTGCAAGGGGTGGGGGGGGAGTGGGGGCGGTGGTGGATGACGACATACCGACTGTCCAGGGAATTAAATTGGCTTCTCACACTCTGGCCAAAATATAAATAGTTTGGCAGCACAGAAACACTTTTGTGCTAAGCCGAGCCAGTTGCAATTCCACTTTCGCGGAAGTGCCGCGCGAAAGTACGCGACACGAATGGCGATTTGTTTTGCTGTTTTTTCACGTAAGCCGCGATGTTGTGCGTTAAGGTGGAGGCAGAGATTATCGACAAGCTGGACAGTCTGCTGTCAGAGGGCAGAGGCGACGAAGACTACAGGGAACTCTTCAGCTTAATGTGAGTGCTGCTGAACCAAATCCCGCTGGCAAGGACTGCTTCGAGCAATTTCCCCCCCAGACAGAAATGATAATTCCACCTTCGTTATTTGAATGGTAAACAGTGAATGGTGGAGGTGCCATTCTGCAGTTTCTTACTCACGCCACTCGACTCTCAGGAGCTCTTCAGAGCCCCTTTAGAACGTATATTGGCCTACTCTTCCACACGGACCAGACGCCTTGGAATATGTGTACGTTCAACTTCTTTCGCACCGTACGTAGCCAACCGTGATAATCGGAGGTGCGGGGGAAGGACGACAAACCAAACTTTAAAAGGAATTCTTAAAGAATTGAGTTTTCAGTCTGGATTTAAAAGTCCATCGCTCCGGGTGGCTTCCTCATATCGGAAGGAAGAGTTTTCCAGACAGCCACATAATTGCATCTGAAAGGGCGCCATCCCATGCCCGTCTTTGTTCGACGGCCAGCCAAAAGCCGCTGCTGCAAGGATGACCTGGAGTTCGCATGACAGTTTATGCTCCCTGACGAGATCAGGATGAGGGAGGAGTACCCACACTTTATCTCGCCGTACGCGACCTGTCGATTGACTTCCTGTGGTTGTACCCATAGATGCTGCTGGGTGGACAGAAGCGAGGGGGCAGGGAGATGGAACCAGCGACCTCCGGGTTGCAAGCCCACTCTGCTAACCGTTTCACTGGGGCAGCGTCATTATTTGAATTGGTCCACGCAGATATTATCACTCGTTGGAAGTGTGTAGGAGGCCATCGCTTAATTACGGTGGCGGTGACTCAGGATTGAAAGCCCTCTAACTGCTCTAAACTCGTGCCCTCAATTTGGAGGGGCATCTGAAATTAAATTTGATGGACCCTCACAGAGACATTGGAAATGCCTTCCAGCTGCAATGTCTTCTTGGGACAGCCCAATGACATTGGCTGATTGCCTGGTTATGTTTACGCGAAAAGCTTCGTGTGTGCGAGCAACTGCATTGTTGGTGTGAAGTGGGCAAGGATGAACAGACGTGTGATTTAATGACTTGATGGGAATTCCTATTTCACGCTCGCTTGACGGAATACAGAACCCCGCTATTCGGACCATATCCGAGGTATTTTATTTTATCGATGTCAACAATTTGTCGTATCTCGTGTTGTCATATAATGTATTATTTTCGTGTAATTCGATTTTTTTTTGTAATAGTGTCATATAGAATTTGTGAACCATTGCACGATCCATTAAAATACATTCCATTTTTGGACAGGTAATGTAACAAAAAATTGAACAAATCATTGGTCTACTAATAGCCATATTTTAATGTCCTAAATAAAAAATATATAATTTGAACAAATCAACACATTAATCGATAACACTGAAGAAGGGCCATGGCCGGAAATGTCACCTGTCATAAAAAATATATTTCAAGACCACGCTGTTATTGACTAATGTGTTGAGTCTTATTATTATTATGAATTGTGCTATTCACCACAGTCAACACAACAGCATCACGACATAAATTGTAAAAAGAAAAATGTAAGGTAATTTTAATATATTTATGATTTAAATAGTAACTCATGTTACTATTTTATGTCACTTGTGTAATATATATATTTTGCAAAAGTGTTTATGGTTAGATATTTCGCCCTGACAACGATTGTTTAAGGATGCTTCATATATTAAAATTATTATATAATTGGTATTATTAATATGCTATTTTCCATTGTTTTGAACTAAATAAAATAGTACCCAAATAATGAGCTCAACAAAAATGTTTTTCGCCACGATTTGTCATCAAAACACATTACACCACTGACATACAGTCAAGCCCACCCATTCATTCAAGCATTCTTCAGTTTCTTTAAAGTAACATCAAGAGTGCCTTTACAAAGGACTGATTTGCATACACGAGAAGCTTAGTTCCACGCATCCCCCTTCCTTTGAGCTCAGTCTGCCAATCTCGGTCATTGACGAGCGTCCCCGGAAAACTGCTGAACGGCTGGGCCTGAGTTTCTCATGGCTCCGTCTCCCCTGGCCCTGCCACAGTTTGCTGGAGCGGATTGAGCAGGAGACGTGGAGGGAGAGTGGCGTCTCCTTCGTTACATCAGTCACTCGCCTCATGGAGAGGCTGCTGGACTACAGGTGAGCGCTCGCTCGTCAAATTGTCACCGTATGAAGACGAAGATCCCCACGTGTAGCCGTTCGGACTCTTTGGGGCAAGTGCTATTATTGAGCACCCATGGAGGCCTGCAGGACGGTGCCTCTGTCTCCCCAGTGCTGGCGAGTTGTTAACTCCCTCGCCCGGTATACAGGAGGTCGTCGGTTCGATCCCGACCCTGATGCCTGCATATTTGAAGTTTGCATGTTCTCCCCGTGGTCGCGTGGATTTTCTCCGGGTTCTCCGATTTTTCCCTCCACATTTAGAATCAACGTGCGTTTCGAGTATTTGGCTGCTGGAAATTTCCGCTTGATAAGCCACTTCGTCGAGCGATCATGTGTGATAGCCAGGTCGCTTCTGAAAAAGAGCTATATAGCTCAGTGGGCGTTACCTGGTCAAATAAAAATAGTTTAATAGTTTAGGTTATACACTGCACCAGATACCAATTTAAGGCCGAGTCGACCTAGGTAGGGCCCAGCAATGGTTCAGATTTTATGTATTGATTTAAACGTGAGCGGGAAACGAACCTAGGTTATCGGGTTCATAGCTCAGTGCGCTAAGCACGGCACTCCCGCCGTACACAGATAAACGCACGAGCGCGCGCCGCCACTCACGGACACATCATCAATTCCCACTCGCGAGCATCGAGATGAGATTGAAGGCGATAGCTGGATGGGACGTAGGCTTCAGCTACCCACGTGTCTCGGACGAGTTTGGAGGACGCATTCGCCCAAAGTATTCCAACCTCTTTCACTACCAGGGCCACATGCGCACGGACGGCTTCCTGCTCATTGTAGCCTCATGATTTGGGGGGGAGGGGGGGGGGCAGCAAAATGGCCGAGTGCTGGCGAGTTTGCCGCTCGTTGCAGTGGTTTGCGGTGTGAGCAAAGCGGCCGCCCTGGCGAACGCTACCGGGGGTGTTCACCAGCACAAAAAGCGTGACGTCTTCTTGACAGCGGGACATTAAAGACCCCCGTGGAGAAATAAAAAAAAATCAAACTTGCGCCTGCGTCACGGTCCAAATTTTCCAAGTTTGAAAATGACTCGTATGCTGCCTAATCGGGTAATTGCCACGTGGCAACACTGCCCCTGCTGTGAAACTAATGCAGGCGTAAAACGCCTTTGAAACACGACACCATCGTATGTTTGTAAGTACGAATGTTGAACTTATTTTGCACCGTACATAGCCAAACGTGGTAATAGGTTTGCCTGTTCACCACAAGTACCGTGTGTGTGGTTTAATGCCAACTTAATATCCTTGCAAAAGGTTTCTATTTGGTGTTTGAACATATTAACACTTCCTGTTTTATTGCCAGAAAGGGTAAAACCTACTCTTATTTTTCATACTTTGATACTGTGCGAAAAGATGCCCATGAAATAGTTAGGATCTGTTCCATTGTGGTGGCCTTGTGCTGTAAGAGAAGCACATTTGCTCAAATGTAGCAATGAGTTGATTTGGTACGTTGTGTCAATCACGATCCTGTGTGTGTGTGTGTGCACATTGTGCAGGGATTGCATGAAGGGAGACGAGGTAGAAGACAAGAAAATTGGCTGTGCCGTGAGTTTGTTGGTAAGGTTCTTAAAGTCTCGCAGTAGAAATCAGTGGGGTAAAAAAACGTTAGCGCGGTTTTTAATTCGGAAAGATAATCCCTCGCGTGTAAGGATGTGCAGATTTATCAATTAAAGTCGTTTCTTAAGCTGACGATTAACACATCAAATTGTGCGTTCAAGAATGCGTTATTTAACGTTCATGCAAATTATATGCTCATGTTGCATGCTGGTTAATCGACCGGATTTAACTGTGTAAATGAGAGAGAGGAAAAAACGCAACATGTTTCAAACGAGACAAATAAAATATGGATTTTTTTTATTTATTCGTGACCCCAAATTTGCGGTGGGCAGGGAGAGAAATGGGTTCGTTGCCTACGAATGCTTTCAGTCATTCTAGAGAGGTATGTACATGTTGAACCTCTTTCGCACAATACGTAGCCAACCATGCTAATCGGAGGTGCGGGAATCCATCATCATTATCTTCATCAGACATGATCTATCCACCGTTGTTGGCTGAAGGCCTCCTGGTCAGGCCCAACATCTCTTAAGCCAGACGAAGCGAACGTCGCTTTCTCTGTCGCAGCTCCGGGCTTCGGGAATTCTCCCCCCCCCTCCTCTCTCACGGCTCTCCGCACGTCAGCGTCCGTGTCCACCTTACGTCAGGACCTGCAGACTTTCCTCCGTCATTCATTTCTTCTCCCGTGCCTCTGAAATGTCCTTTTGCAGTTCGGTTTGTGTGCGTCACACATTTTATCAGTGAACAAATGAATTCATGCAATTACCCATGTGGATCTGCAGAACTTCTACAAAACGGAAATCAACAAAGAAGAAATGTACATCCGCTACATCCACAAGCTGTGTGACATGCACCTGCAGGCACAGAACTACACGGGTACGTTACACCGACTCGTTCAACGCACTTGCTGCCGGCAGCGGCGCCCCTGCTGCGGTCTCGAACTGGCGGCCAAGCCGAGACCGTCAGCTCGCTGCAAATGAGCATAGGTTCGTGACACCGTGTTGAGGATAGGTTCGTGACACTGCGTTGGCAGTGTTGCACAATCATTGATGGCAAAAACGCGACACGTTCGTGAGTACCACCACGCAAAAAAAAAGTGGAGTATAAAACGGACGATGTTTCTCAATTTTGAACTTATTCATAGCAGAGAAGTCAATTTGAGGCACACAGGTCAATTATTCACAGGCGGTTACCTGGATTGGAACCCAGGACCTCAGCTGTGAGAGCTCGGCGCTCTGAACTTTGAGTCACATGGCCACCTTTCGAGTTATCTGACACTTGAGTCAAGTGAAGTATATATTGGTTTACATACGTGGTGCCTTTCTGGCACAGCATATATAGAGAAAAAAATTAAGTTGTGGCTATGAGCTAAATTGAAGTTAACTTTTTATTTTACCCGGTAGGGCCCAACTGAGCTTCATAAGTGACCTGGCCACGACTGATAGCAGCTCAACGAAGTGGCTTATCATCTCGTGGATATGCATAGCAGCCAGTTGTTGCGTGCAAGCGCAAAGAGAGTTGCGTTAAGTCGTGACTTGAAACGCAAGCAGTGGAATCGAGCGTGCGCGTCGCTTGACCTCGTCCTCCCCGCACGTGCGCTCCGTTTTTACTAAAACCCCGCCCAATTTCCGCCAACACCTCCCCACTACGCTGCCGACACCGCTCCCCGACCCGCGCTACAGAGGCGGGCTTCACGCTGCTGCTCTACTGCGAGCTGCTGGGCTGGGACGAGCGTCCGCTCGGCCCGTTCCTGCACTACCCGGCGCAGAGCGAGTGGGAGCGCAAGGAGAGCCTCCTCCTCAAGATCCTGCACTTCTTCCACAAGGGCAAGGTGAGGGCTCGCACGCGGTACCGCGTCGCCCGTGCGTTACCCGACGGCGTTCGATGCAAGCTGAGCGGAATGTCGTCGTGCATGCCCGCGTTGAACTAAAGTCATGAAAGGCCTCTGGTCCACCGGTGAAGGGGAGGAGGATGAGGTCGATCGGTCGGAATGTGATCGACACATCGGCCACGGTTAAACCATGATAATATTTTGTGCCAACGTGGCAAACTTTTCGGATGGAGGTTTAATGTGCAACCATTTTAGGTGTAAAAATGACAACCACGTGGATCAAACTCAAACACGAGTATGGACCAAAAAGCACTCAAGGCTTCGGACGTTTTTTTTATCGCCTCCGCTGGGCAGAAGTGGTGAACGCAAACTGATTGTGTGAGTGGCCGTGTGGCTCGCTGAGTATGCGAGTGTTTGTGTGAGAGCCCCGCGTGGCTCGCTGAGTGTGCGAGTGTTTGTGTGAGAGCCCCGCGTGGCTCGCTGAGCGTGCGAGTGTTTGTGTGAGAGCCCCGTGTGACTCGCTGAGTGTGCGAGTGTTTGTGTGAGAGCCCCGTGTGACTCGCTGAGTGTGCGAGTGTTTGTGTGAGAGCCCCGCGTGGCTCGCTGAGCGTGCGAGTGTTTGTGTGAGAGCCCCGCGTGGCTCGCTGAGTGTGCGAGTGTTTGTGTGAGAGCCCCGCGTGGCTCGCTGAGCATGCGAGTGTTTGTGTGAGAGCCCCGTGTGGCTCGCTGAGTGTGCGAGTGTTTGTGTGAGAGCCCCGCGTGGCTCGCTGAGCGTGCGAGTGTTTGTGTGAGAGCCCCGTGTGGCTCGCTGAGTGTGCGAGTGTTTGTGTGAGAGCCCCGTGTGGCTCGCTGAGTGTGCGAGTGTTTGTGTGAGAGCCCCGCGTGGCTCGCTGAGCGTGCGAGTGTTTGTGTGAGAGCCCCGCGTGGCTCGCTGAGCGTGCGAGTGTTTGTGTGAGAGCCCCGTGTGGCTCGCTGAGTGTGCGAGTGTTTGTGTGAGAGCCCCGCGTGGCTCGCTGAGCGTGCGAGTGTTTGTGTGAGAGCCCTGTGTGGCTCGCTGAGTGTGCGAGTGTTTGTGTGAGAGCCCCGCGTGGCTCGCTGAGCGTGCGAGTGTTTGTGTGAGAGCCCCGCGTGGCTCGCTGAGCGTGCGAGTGTTTGTGTGAGAGCCCCGTGTGGCTCGCTGAGTGTGTGAGTGTTTGTGTGACAGCCCTGCACGGCTCGCTGAGAGAGCGAGTGCACCGAACTGCGTCCCCCGTTGTGCCTTCTCAGTGCTGGGAGTTTGGCATTCCACTGTGCCGGGAGCTGGCTGGACAGTACGAGGCCCTCTACGACTACCAGCGGCTGAGTTCGGTCCGGGTACGTTATGCGAGTCTGAGCAAACAATGTTTTTGTTGCAGTGCTGGCCAGTGGTGCAGAAGAACGAACAATGATTATTCAAAACATGTTTCACTGCCATGGTCCTCCAAAGGGGAAAAATAAATTAACATATAATATAAGTAATTGGGTATTGGCCCTTCATCATTGCAACTGGCACACCTTGATGGAAGGTCAGTTAAAGTCAACCCCATCACAAGGGCAGCGAAACCAGCACGATAACATACCCGAATCTTGCATTCCAATTTTTAAGCTGCCAATGCACTTATACAATATTACAGTCAACGTTTCCACGATTTTGGTGAGATTTTTAAAAAAAATAATTTAATCACATAATTCTGCTCCCCTTTCATCCCGATTGTGCCATCGGCATTATGTCGTGAGCTGTCGCATCCATCCGGAGCGCTCGCAGAGCAATGCGACCCTTTTGTGTTAGGAAACAGCCCAAAGAATACAGAGCTGACACGTGACCTTATTTCAGACAGCAGCAGCAGCGGTAGCGGTAAGTTCTCAGGGCCAGATTAAGGTTACGAGGGGGCCTAAGGCGAATATTGAGGGAAGGGCCTAAACATTTACAGTCTTACGTATTGCAACAAAATATGTTATGAAGTCATACAGATATGTATTTCTCTATGTGAAATGAGCAAATGTATTCCATTCAGTTAAATTAATCAAAACCACGAATCACTCGCTGCACTCATTTCTAAAAAAACAACCAACTTGGTTTGTTTTCAATAATATAGTTTTTTTTGGGGTTAGATCGCGTAAATATATAAATGTGTCGTTAAAACCCGCCACCACCCGACACAGCCAATTAGTAAGGGTTGTCACGTAAACAGAACGTGGCCAATTCGTCACTAGTACAGCACACCGGTTGTGTGTTGGAGAGCCAAGCCACAACATTTACAATCTGAGTACGACGTTTCGCCAGTAATTACAACTAGCTTCATCAACTAGTTTGTTTTATTATCCCCCCGAGCTTTAGCTGCTGGCGAAGCCACAAATGACATCGCCGTAATTCAGAGACCAGATGAATAGCCACTGGCCCAGGCTACTGTCGTTGAGCTATCAGTTAAAAATATGGAACGGAGGACCGAAAGGAAGGAGGGCCCTACAAAAAGAAATAGCCTGTGGGTTAATCTGGCCGCCCTCATAGCAGCACTTATCCGTCGGGCTCAGCCGCTGAGCGTTAATGTTGGTTGCGTGGCAGTCGAGCTGCTGCTATATTCAATTCTGAGAGCCGGAACTAAGCGCAAAAATTGGCAGAGCCGAGTTTAAGGTGATGGGTTTATTTTTTTTAGTTTGTGTGCAGTCTTTGGGGCGGACAAGGCTGAGATCGTCAAACTCGCTACATTCGAGAACCTCGTTTGATCCACAAACCGCTGTCGGGATTCGAACCCAGCGTTTCAGCGGTGGTGGCTAAGTGCTCTACGGTCTCTGAGCCACACCCGCTCTTCCTCGAGTCCACATTTTCCTGCGTGCAACAGAAAAAAAATGTGTCCGGTCTCCTGAAAAACCGTTGCGTCGATATTTTTTTCCTGCTTCAGATTTGATGATGATAATGAACATTAAATTCTCCCAAATGCAACTGTCAGAAGTAGCAGAACACGCGTGCCAACAAGGACACTCAATTGATTTTGATAATGTTGAAGTTCTGTGCAAAACTAGCTACTGCTGTCCAAGACTAATTAGAGAATCTATCGAAATTGAAAGTAATAGAAATAACTTTGACCGTTCGTATAGCTACCGCCTTAGTGCTGCATGGAAGCGAATAATCAAATAATATGTTTTTTTTTTAATGCATGCCTACAAAGGGCAACATACTTCAATAGGGATTGGCGTTGGTAGGGCTATTTTAATACACACAATAGACAGGAAGTACAAGTTCAAAGGGCTCGCGCAATGCACATGCATAATGTACGTTGCCTCATTAATCCCACCCTCCCACCCCGACGTGGCGCAAGAGCGCAGAAGCGTGGTCACCGCATCTACGCCTCTACATAAGTGTAGTGGGTTCCACGCACTTTAACTGGGAGGCAAAATGTTTATTACACGGCCCCAACGGGGCAGCTACTCATCATAACAACACGTTAGCTAGACCCCAGCAGGGTAACTGCTTAACCGGATCAGGCAGTAACGTACTGCCGGACCCACACTGCCGAACGTGACGACCGAAGCCCGAAGATCGAAGCGACGTTTCCCGGTGGGATGATTCCAGGAGACAGCCCCGTTCGGCTCTCTGGACCCCCTTTTTATCCCCTGAGCGTGGCCTCTCTCCGCCCTTAGCCACGCCCCCTTCGGGATCTGCCCCAGAAGGTTCTGGGGCCTTCCACCACATGTCCTTCTCGTCACCTGTCGGCTCCCCTCGTTATCCCCTCCTTGTCACGTGCCCTCTCGGGTCCCCCAAGCCTGTCACATCCTCGGGTACCCAGAGAGAGGCTGTGATACGCGCAGTTCCACTCATCTCTCAGTAGCTGGCGCTAACGGCATAGTGACTCAAAATATATACGTCACTACATCAGGAACGAAACAGGCGGACTTCTCCACAAATCTGGCTGTCGCCTGATGAAGCTAGTTGTAATTACTGAGTGAAACGTCGTACTTAGATTGTAAATGTTGTGGCTTGGCTCTAGTGACGAATTGGCCACGTTCTGTTTACGTGACAACCCTTACTAGTTGGCCGTGTCGGGTGGTGGCGGGTTTTAACGACACATTTATATATTTACGCGATCTAACCCAAAAAACCTCTATTATGGATAATGTTTTTTTTGTGTGGGACGGGGGTATTATTAGAAAACGGAGGCGGCTTACTACGACAACATCATCGAGCAGCAACGCCTGGAGCCGGAGTTTTTCAAAGTCGGCTTCTACGGGAAAAAGTTTCCCTTCTTCCTTCGGGTGAGTTTTTTTTGCTCTTCAGTTTTTAGTTTTTCCTTTCTTCACGATGTGCACGACCCCCGCCGATCCCGGTGGAAGTGCGCGGCAGGCTTCTCGCGAACGTCGGTGACGGACGAGCGTTTGTGTCTGTTATACGACGCTCCTGTGCAGAATGAGAGGCGCACGCTGCCGTACTGAGACACGGAGTAGTTTGCGTTCGGATCAGGGCGGTTATGGTGCCTCGTTTGTTCGTAACTCGTGGTTTGTGTTCATAATAAAATGGGGCTTGCGCGACGAGTGTGGTATTTGTTGAGAACCGGCTGTTAAGAGCGCCGTGCGCAACATCTGCTCAACACGAGGAGTCCATCCGCTTTCCTGCCATGTTCGTTTTAGAGCGAGGGCATTTCTGTAGCTCGCCAAAGTGTTTTCGGGACGTACCGACCGTATCGCGCCGCCGGCCACTGCTGGTGTTTGAGGCACAAGCAAGACGCAGAGATGTGTACGAGGCACGCGGCCATTCGTGCAACAAGCCGTCAGGAGCGTTCCCTGAAGCATCGCGCTGTGCGTCGATGCAAAAATTGGCCCGTGTGCTTTTAACACACATTTGTATTCTGTCGTCGCGGGGTTTTCTCGCAAGTGTTGAGTCAGCCCATCATCACCAATGGGGCCAATAACATCGGTACCGACTTCTGGGGAAAGCAGCGGTGATTGTTCTATGGGGGACAGACTATCTCCCACCACAGGAACGTGGAATTTCCACCACCGACTCTGCAGGGTTGAGAACGAGAAATAAGCACTCGTGCCTCAATGCTCATTTTTGAGTAGGAAATCACGTTAGCCCGTCCTTGTGTGCATGTGTGTGTGTGCATGTGTGTGCGTGCATGCATGTGTGCGTACGTGTGTGTGTGCGTGCATGCGTGTGCATGCATGCGTGCGTGTGCCTGCGATCGTGTGTGCATGCGCGTGTGTGTGTGCGTGCATGCGTATGTGTGCGTGCATACTCGTGCGTGTTCTGTTCAGAACAAGGAGTTTGTGTGCCGGGGCCACGACTACGAGCGGCTGGAGACGTTCCAGCAGCGCATGCTGAGCGAGTTCCCGCACGCCGTGCCCATGCAGCACGCGGGCCAGCCCGACGACGCCACCACGCACGCCGACGCGCAGTGTACGCAACGGCACCAGCGTCTCCACCAGCATCCCCACCGCCATCCCCACCAACGTCTCCACCAGCATCCCCACCGCCATCCCCACCAACGTCTCCACCAGCATCCCCACCGCCATCCCCACCAACGTCTCCACCAGCATCCCCACCGCCATCCCCACCAACGTCTCCACCAGCATCCCCACCGCCATCCCCACCGGCATCCCCACCGCCATCCCCACCGGCATCTCCACCGGCATCCCCACCGGCATCTCCACCGACATCTCCACCGGCATCCCCACCAGCGTCTCCACCGCCATCTCCACCGGCATCCCCACCAGCGTCTCCACCGCCATCTCCACCGGCATCCCCACCAACGTCTCCACCAGCATCCCCACCGGCATCCCCACCAGCGTCTCCACCGCCATCTCCACCGGCATCCCCACCAGCGTCTCCACCAGCATCCCCACCGGCATCCCCACCAGCGTCTCCACCGCCACCTCCACCGGCATCCCCACCAACGTCTCCACCAGCATCCCCACCGGCATCCCCACCGGCATCTCCACCGACATCTCCACCGGCATCCCCACCAGCGTCTCCACCAGCATCCCCACCGGCATCCCCACCAGCGTCTCCACCGCCATCTCCACCGGCATCCCCACCAGCGTCTCCACCAGCATCCCCACCGGCATCCCCACCAGCGTCTCCACCGCCATCTCCACCGGCATCCCCACCAGCGTCTCCACCAGCATCCCCACCGGCATCCCCACCAGCGTCTCCACCGCCATCTCCACCGGCATCCCCACCAACGTCTCCACCAGCATCCCCACCGGCATCCCCACCAGCGTCTCCACCGCCATCTCCACCGGCATCCCCACCAGCGTCTCCACCAGCATCCCCACCGGCATCCCCACCAGCGTCTCCACCGCCATCTCCACCGGCATCCCCACCAACGTCTCCACCAGCATCCCCACCGGCATCCCCACCAGCGTCTCCACCGCCATCTCCACCGGCATCCCCACCAGCGTCTCCACCAGCATCCCCACCGGCATCCCCACCAGCGTCTCCACCGCCATCTCCACCGGCATCCCCACCAGCGTCTCCACCGCCATCTCCACCGGCATCCCCACCAGCGTCTCCACCGCCATCTCCACCGGCATCCCCACCAACGTCTCCACCAGCATCCCCACCGGCATCCCCACCGGCATCTCCACCGACATCTCCACCGACATCTCCACCGGCATCCCCACCGGCATCCCCACCACCATCTCCACCGGTATCCCCACCGGTATCCCCACCGGCATCTTCACCGCCATCTCCACCGGCATCCCCACCGGCATCCCCACCGGTATCCCCACCAGCATCCCCCACCGGCATCTCCACCGGTATCCCCACCAGCATCCCCACTGGCATCTCCACCGGTATCCCCACCGGCATCTCCACCGGCATCTCCACCAGCATCCCCACCAGCATCCCCACCAGTATCCCTACCGGTATCCCCACCGGCATCTCCACCGCCACCTCCACCGGTATCCCCACCGGCATCCCCACCGGCATCTCCACCGGCATCCCCACCGGCATCTCCACCGGGATCCCCACCAGCATCCCCACCGGTATCCCCACCGGTATCCCCACCGGCATCTCCACCGCCATCTCCACCGGTATCCCCACCGGCATCCCCACCGGCATCTCCACCGGCATCCCCACCGGCATCTCCACCGGTGTCCCCACCGGTATCCCCACCGGCATCTCTACCGCCATCTCCACCGGTATCCCCACCGGCATCCCCACCGGCATCCCCACCGGCATCTCCACCGGCATACCCACCGGCATCTCCACCGGCATCTCCACCGGCATCTCCACCGATATCCCCACCGGCATCCCCACCAGCATCTCCACCGGTATCCCCACCGACATCTCCACCGGCATCTCCAACGACATCTCCACCGGCATCTCCACCGGCATCCCCACCGGCATCTCCACCGGCATCTCCAACGACATCTCCACCGGCATCTCCACCGGCATCCCCACCGGCATCTCCACCGGCATCCCCACCAGCATCCCCACCGGTATCCCCAGCAGCAGTAGCAGCTACACAAGCAGCATCCATCATTCGTTGATGTTATATTTTACGAGCAGCGAACAGATGGTCCCTCGTGCATTTATGTAAATGGAGGTGTTTCTCCGTAGCTGCTTTGGAACTCTCTCACTCTCCCACTGTTGCACACAGCAGCAGCATCCAGGCACTATCTACCGCGGTGGCACATTTTAACTACCTCGCCTGGTATTCATGAGGTTGTGGGTTCAATCCCAACCCTGACTCCTGTATATTTGGAGTTTACATATCTCACTCCGTGTGGTCACGTGGATTTTTATCCATGCATTTAGAATATTTGGCTACAATACCTTTCCACATGATAATCCACTTAGTTATAGAATTTTTGGTCAGGTCGCTTCTGAAAAAAAGCTATATAGCTTAGTGGGCCTTTACCTGATATACAGTGAGGGAAAAATGTATTTGATCCCCTGCTGATTTTGTACGTTTGCCCACTGACAAATAAATTATCAGTCTATAATTTTAATGGTAGGTTTATTTGAACAGTGAGAGACAGAATAACAACAACAAAATCAAGAAAAACGCATGTCAAAAATGTTATAAATTTATTTGCATTTTAATGAGGGAAATAAGCATTTGACCCCCTCTCAATCAGAAAGATTTCTGGCTCCCAGGTGTCTTTTATACAGGTAACGAGCTGAGATTAGGAGCACACTCTTAAAGGGAGTGCTCCTAATCTCAGCTTGTTAGCTGTATAAAAGACACCTGTCCACAGAAGCAATCAATCAATCAGATTCCAAACTCTCCACCATGGCCAAGACCGAAGAGCTCTTCAAGGATGTGAGGGACAAGACTGTAGACCTACACAAGGCTGAAATGGGCTACAAGACCATTGCCAATCAGCTTGGTGAGAAGGTGACAACAGTTGGTGCGATTATTCGCAAATGGAAGAAACACAAAAGAGCTGTCAATCTCCCTCGGCCTGGGGCTCCATGCAAGATCTCACCTCGTGGAGTTGCAATGATCATGAGAACGGTGAGGAATCAGCCCCGAACTACACGGGAGGATCTTGTCAATGATCTCAAGGTAGCTGGGATCATAGTCACCAAGAAAAAATCGGTAACACACTACGCCGTGAAGGACTTAAATCCTGCAGCGCCCGCAAGGTCCCCCTGCTCAAGAAAGCACATATACATGCCCGTCTGAAGTTTGCCAATGAACATCTGAATGATTCAGAAGACAACTGGGTGAAAGTGTTGTGGTCAGATGAGACCAAAATGGAGCTCTTTGGCATCAACTCAACTTGTGGTGTTTGGAGGAGGAGGAATGCTGCCTATGACCCCAAGAACACCATCCCCACCGTCAAACATGGAGGTGGAAACATATTTTGGGGGTGTTTTTCTGCTAAGGGGACAGGACAACTTCACCCCATCAAAGGGACGATGGACGGGGCCATGTACCGTCAAATCTTGGTTGAGAACCTTCCCTCAGCCAGGGCATTGAAAATGGGTCGTGGATGGGTATTCCAGCATGACAATGACCCAAAACACACTGCCAAGGCAACAAAGGAGTGGCTCAAGAAGAAGCACATCAAGGTCCTGGAGTGGCCTACTCAGTCTCCAGACCTTAATCCCATAGAAAATCTGTGGAGGGAGCTGCTGGTTCGAGTTGCCAAACGTCAGCCTCGAAACCTTAATGACTTGGAGAAGATCTGCAAAGAGGAGTAGGACAAAATCCCTCCTGAGATGTGTGCAAACCTGGTGGCCAACTAGAAGACACGTCTGAAGTCTGTGATTGCCAACAAGGGTTTTGCCACCAAGTACTAAGTCATGTTTTGCAGAGGGGTCAAATACTTATTTCCCTCATTAAAATGCAAATCAATTTATAAAATTATTGACATGCGTTTTTCTGGATTTTGTTGTTATTCTGTCTCTCACTGTTTAAATAAACCTACCATTAAAATTATAGACTGATCATTTCTTTGTCAGTGGGCAAACGTACAAAATCAGCAGGGGATCAAATCCTTTTTTCTATTACTGTATATGGAATGCTGCCATGGTGTAGTAGTTATCACACTGTGCTTGCAATCAAAAGTTAAACCAGTTGGATTCGATCTCCTGGCACGGCAGTTGAAACGATGGTGCAAGTTTTTAGTCTGGCGACTGTGGAAGAGTCGGCCAACATCCCCTCTGCACCCCCCTCTTGAAGAGGCCCCTCTGCCAGCAGTGGCGTGAGCAAAGCAACTCCAGGGCTGCACCTTTACTGAATGCATATCTACACACGCATATTAAACTGCCAGTCTCTATACAACACTGGCAAGGTGACTACTCGTGATCAGAAGGTCACGTCTTCAAATCCTGCTCGAGGATGGACCATCTGTGATTGATAAAATGAGTACCTCCTTGCGAAGAGTCAACGGTGTTCTATTGAATGACTCGCCCCTGCCCAAGGAATGTGTAATTTCCACCAATGGCTCAGGGCTGTAAACGGGAGACGAGAAAAATATTATTTGATGTTTTTGACTGCACCCCGCTGCTGCCTCTGGCTCCAATCTTAATTGCATCTGTCTCAGTCATTCTTCTCTCTGCCTGTGACATATATATATACACAGGGCACACGTATATATAATGCCTATTTACGATGCCGTTCATCACGAACGCCCTGACAAATTGACCGACCTGACGCACAACCGCGCGTAGTTTTACCGCGCAGTCCTGGCGATGGCACGTTGCGATGTCGCCTTCCCATCGACACTTCACAGCACTCACGTGGGAGGGCCACAACGAGGAGAGATTACAGATTGCAGATGGGGGTGGGGGAGGGGGAGACATTTGAGGACAAGTGGTGAACGTTCAGCGTTAGCTACTTCATGGTGCAACGGGTGGCAACGAAGTGGCTTATCACGTGGAAAGGTGTAGCAGCCAAATACTCTAAACGCATGTTTCCAAATGTGGAGGGTAAAAAGCCGCAGGACCCGGAGGAAAATCCACGTGACCATGGGGAGAGAGAGAGACACGCAAACTCCAAATATACAGCAGCAGGCGTCAGGGTCGGGATCGAACCCACGACCTCCTGCATGTCAGGCGAGGTAGCGAACATCTCGGCACAGCGCGGTGCCTTGCAGGGCCGCCGCGCCTTTTAGTAAACATTCCCGCACTGCCAGTGCGCACCTTGCTGGCCCTGCTGGCTTCATGACGCCTCTCGTGTTGCCGTTGGTTTGCGTCTCCCTACCATGAAACCGCTGTGCAGATATCCAGATTTTTGCCGTCTCCCCGGTGCCCGGCGTCTCGGAAGTACTGCGCAACGAACGCATACCGGAGAGAATCAAGAGCTTCTACCGCGTCAACAACATCTGCAAATTCCGTTATGACCGGCCCCTCTACAAAGGCACCAAGGACAAGGAAAATGAGTTCAAGGCAAGATGAGTCGCGTTTTCTTGTCTGTGAGCCCGAGAGCATCTGAAAAAAAATATAAAAAATTCCGTCAAAAATAAATAGGCCGGTGGATGTGTGGATAAATATATAAATGCTGACAGTGCCCATCAATCAGCTGTGAGACCAGGCCTCCTAGGTGAAGGCCGATCAATCTGACTTTGATCGGAGAGTCTCCCGCTCGTTTTATTGGCCCCTGCTGTGGCTGCCCGGGTGAGGGCCTCATTCAGATCGTCTCCCCTGGAGTGGCAGCGGTGGCATTTCGCCTCGCCAAGGGAGGTGAAGAGAGGCCGCGGCTCGTGGCTGACCACGCCGGCCCCACCGTGCGTGGGCCGGGCTACGCTGGAAACAAAATGACAACAATGATGGCCACAAATTATCGTGCCGTTTCACGAGGAATCGGACGCACGGGGGTGTGCTTCATTTCCACTTGTGATTGAATAAACCGCTCAGCCTGTCAGCATCAGTAGAGGCTGGCTTAAGCCTGTTTCTACGGGCCAATAGATAAATATCCGTGAGGTGTTATTCACGTAAATTTACTCCAGGAGGAAAAGCAACTGGAGCTATTTTAGTAAAATCTGCATGGTAATTGAATAACACCGAATATCTTCCAACCCACTGTATTGTGAATAATATTTAGAAAATGTATTATTAATTCTTGTTGTTTCAAAAATATTAACCTAACAGATACCTTTTTTCAGTCCTATAATTGTAATTTTTGTTCTTTTATAATCACAGAATCTCTGGGTTGAACGAACCACATTAATTCTCAAGCAGCCTCTGCCCGGAATATGCCGTTGGTTTGAAGTTGACAAGAGGGAAGTGGTGAGTCTAAAAAATTATTGAATCCGTTGTACCTTACTTTGTTTTAAACTACGTGTGGTGTTCTTGTGGTTCCATAATAATACCCCTGTTTCGACAGTGCCAGGCCAGCCTGGTGCAGGTGAGGAGGTGCCAGATGTTTTTTTCCACTGCATAAGCTGAGCCACACCACTGACATTACACGGCAACGAGTCGAGACGCATGCAAATGCTGCCGTGACGCTGTGTCCCCGCAGTGTACTGACTGACATCTCACGCGGTGAACGCATTATAACCTACACCTCTGGCCCTGCTTGGCCCCGAGCGAGGTTCAGCTGTGTTGTTACGGCAGGGTATCACGGGTTGGGTGCTCGCTCGGTAATGCAAATAGCCAGTGGAAAACCACCCGGACAAAAGGGAGCGCCCTGATTTGGCTCGGCTCAGATGCGCCAGTGGAAAAGAGAGGCGTAGGATGCAGGACGGCAACAACCTTGAGATGTGCTGCGTGGGAGGCGCGCTACAAATGTTACGTGACGGCTACGACGACGATGATAGTGATGCTGATGATTCGTTGCGCGTGCGATCGCAGGCGGAAATGAGCCCCCTGGAGAACGCCATCGAGGCGGTGGAGAACAAGAACACGGAACTGCGGCTGCTCATCGGGCAGTACCGCACTCAGCCTCCACACAACCTCAACCCCCTGAGCATGTGCCTCAACGGCGTCATCAACGCGGCCGTCAACGGAGGCATCGCCCGATACCAGGAGGTACCGTAACGCCCCGCCGGCTCATCTTCAGCGCACCATCCTCGATGCGCCGCGGTCCGGACTTCCACGCTCTTAGCGTCGCCAGCGGGGCCTAACCCCATCGTAAATCACGTCGTAGGTTCGGATGGGTGGCGGCTGGGCCCAGTTGTAGCTCGTTCGCCGCTCGTTGCACGGCTTCGCGGTTATAGATGCGGCGGCCGCTCTCGTCAATCCTGCGGGTGTGAAATGTAAGCGGTGTGTCCGTGCAATCGCTTGCGCACGCTACTGCTGGCGAAAGGGGCCTCGATTGAACTCTCGAGGATACTCACCGACCCCCCCTATCAAACGTGGCGGTGCCAGTCGATTAAATGTGGTGAACACGTTTATACTCAGTTCAACACGTAGGCTTTCGTGACCAATATTATCCATAATAGAGGTTTTTTTTGGGTTAGATCGCATAAATATATACATGTGTCGTTAAACCCGCCACTGCCCGGCAAAGCCAATTAGTAAGGTTTGTCACGTAAACAGAACATGCCAATTCGTCACTAGTTCAGCACACCGGTGTGTTGGAGAGTAAACCCACAACATTTACAATTCGAGCACAACGTTTCGCCAGTAAGTACAACCAGCCTGATGATGCTAGTTTGTAATTACTGGCGAGACAAAGCACTCGAATTGTAAATGTTGTGGGTTTATACAGTCGGGCGGATTGAAGAGACGTGACCGATATGTCAACTGCTGTGCTGGGAGAACGAATAAACAGCGTGCGAACCATTACACCCGGGGCAGCATCTCTTTATAGTCTGAACAGAATTATTTAGCAAAACAAGAAATGATTTTTAAAAAACGTAGGAAAATAGACAACGAAATGCACCTTGCCGTGCTAAAAGCCCTTTGTAGTAAAACTCCTGACACTGACCGTTAACAGTGAGCACGTCTGCGCTATGGAGGTGACGGCTGTTATTATTATTATCATGAGTCATGGGTGATGTGTGGCTTAAGTGAAATCGGTTAAATTAAAGGGGTTTTTTTTCTTTGTCACCTGAAAGGCATTTTTCGACAAAGAATACTTGGCAACCCACCCAGAAGACGTGGAAAAGATTGGCCGCTTAAAGGACGTGATGCTTGAGCAGGTACGATATTGCTGTTGCTCATGGGTGGACCTAGGTTTAATTCCCAACTCGGATGCATTCCTGCGTGTAGTTTGTATGTTCTCCCCCTGTTCTGCATGGGATTCCTCCGGATTGTCTACTTACATCCTTGGGGCTGGCTTCAGTGCTTCATCCCATGATTCAATGAAACACACAATGGATCTGGTATTGGCGTAAGATCCCAAAGCTGAAAAATGTCCTGCAATTTACTTTATTGAGATGACCAACAGTGTAATTATAATAACAATTTAAAGTGCACAATTATGTACGATATGATTATGTCATTGGGTCTTGGGGCCGTCCCAAGACCATCAAACAAAGACGATCACAGCATTGCGCGCTTTCAGATGCGCTTCTGCGACCGTCTGGAATGCTCTTCCTTCCGATATTAGGAAGTGACTGGAGCTGTACACGTTTAAATCTAGATCGAAAACGCATTTCTTTAGAACTGCTTTTTTGTGTTTAGTTTGTTGTCCTTCCCCCGCACCTCAGATTAGCACGGTTAGTTACATACGGTGTGAAAGAAGTTAAACTTACATACATGTCCTACTGTGTTGTTCTTTCATGAGGGGTGTGATTCATGTGGCTAGCAATTCATATGCAGCGTTGTCTCACCAAATCCATGCCTAAGATAAGTATCCAGACGCATTGGAAATTAGTAATTTGGCTTACCGTTGTGTCGAGAAATTGGTATGGGAATTTACAAGAATAAATTAATTGTTCAGATCGCGTTTTAATTTCTTTTAACTGGTGCCTCAAGAATCTAACCAACGTTTTCTTTTCGGGCAACTCCATTGAATCAAGCATTGGCGCTGGGACTAAATAGATAACAAGAGTAAATATGTGGCTAACAAAAGAAAGTTCGCCAAAGGAAAAATGGCTTGACAGTTTGTTTGTATCGTTTAACACTATAATTATGGTAAGTATGGTTAGATGACTGGCAGACCCACCTGGTTTTCCCAGAATCATGCTTGCCCGGCCACCTTTGTCTTCCTACTGCCCATATTTACACTCCATTCTAGCTATTTCATTCAGGCTAATTCGACTTGGGTTGAGTCCCAGGACCGGTTCAGGCATTCGTCACCGATGTTGGCCATGAGTGGGAGTCGAACTTGTGTCGCTGGATCCGTCCAGGTGTACATCCTTGGGGCTGGCCTCAGCGTCCACGAGCGATTTGTACACCCGGAGATGCGGCCCCTACACCGCAAGCTCCTGGAGCAGTTCCAGATGATGAGAAGCAGCCTGGCCAGTCAGGTTTGTTCGTTCTATCCACCACCGTAGTTTCCCGCCACGTGCTCCATTTAGTGGGATGCATTTTAACACATTTCAAGCGTGCCACTTACCGCCACGCCACGCTACTTCCCCACTCCACAAACACGCAAACAAGTCTCAGCACGGGACAGGAGGATATCGGAGTGGACAGGTGGCGGCAGCTTTGGCCCAACCTTTTGGAAAGTTTAAGCGAGCCGTAGAATGAAAATAATTTGGTACATTTGGTCTTTTGCGCCGTTCTCAACGCGCAAGGCTATCACTAAGGTGCGACGTTTCACAGTACGAGTCTCGTCTGCCAGTCGCGGGCGATATTGCCACATTGTTTTTTTTTTACCCAATTAAGTAATTTGCACAGAATTTTTTTAAAGTAGTACATTTGAACCGTGACACCAGCAAACTGTACCGTATCTTTTTCTGGAATAACGTCACGGATTTGTGACGTCCAGTGTGAACAAGACGGCTCTTATGCGTAGTAAATTACACCGGCAGTGTTAACCAGGAGGGCGGCCCTCGAGCTTGAACCACGAACCTCTGCAACAAGTGGCAAACGCACCACCGCTCGGCCATGTCACCATGCACACAGCTCCATGAGCACAAGCGGGTCGTGTTTAATCGTGACCCGATGCGCCGCGACATGCCTACAATTAACATTGGGTGTTATGGATTTTTTTAAAAATCACCACGCATTTACAGCACTTACTGAATTACTCCTTTTCTCTTGTTTTTTCCACATTCAGGACTTAATGTCCATGGGCAGAATCAGTCCGGCGTTTGCCGCAAGCTTGGGCCAACCCAATGTGTTTTCCCCAAACAGCATGAAGATCTTCAACCGACAAAGGTCAGTATGGGTCAGCGATTCCGCGCTTGAAACTCAATCCTTGGCGGCTCGTTTCAGGTCATCGTCTTTACAGGAGTTTTTTTTTTTTTGCACCTTGCAGCTCGCTCAGCCTTCCAGGATCGAATCGCGTTTCATCATCTTCACTGTCGTCCCAGGCTTCTGCCGAGACTGGGAACATGGCAGCCCTCTCCGACAGCCTGGTACGTAGCGCACCAACGTCCCTCGTTATTTGTCGATGTCGCTATGTTGACGCACGTCACAAACCAAGGTTGCAAGCGTCAATGCGTTCCCTCTGTCCATTCCGTGGTGACGCGATAACTGACCACCAAATATTACAAGTCCATCAGCCTATGGGACCCTTTGAACTATATTTTTTCCAACTGCGTTTGTTTAAGCAGACAAATTGGACCGCCGGTTTTTTATTTTCTAAATTTCATCACCATCGGTTGTGTTGGTCCCAAGGGCCCATAAGCTGATGTACTTAAATGTGTGTTTTTTGTAATGTTTCAACTAAGATTGAAAGCGATAATGCATCCTGTCTGACCGTCTGTCCATTAATTCGTCTGCCTGCCTGTTTGTCTGTTGGGGGGGTTCCCAATTACTCTCATCAAGATGCGAGGGTGTTATAAGCACACTTAGAAAAATAGCATAACACAGCAGAGGTGTCACATCCATGGACAGGGGGTGGGAACATATCAGAGGGAGGAGAGGAGGCAAGGAGGGATTAGTTGAGAGGAGGGGCCAGGGAAGGTTGGAGGAGGAGGAGCAGGGGGAGGTATAGAGGAGAACAAGATTATGGCCGAGACTGGGAGCACCACGTGTGAATAAAGAGAACCTTTCCCCGTATTTTGAGCCTCTGTGTTCCTTCTTACAAAGATGTCCCAATCGGAACGACATTTAGCTTCAACTGTGTTAATTTCAGGGACTTACACAGTAGAAAACCAGCCAAATTTATCAAAGCATTGCCCAAAACCTGCACTCGTGAATCAGCGCCAGATAAAATATTTATTAGCAACTTTGCAAACGCAAATTGCGAGGACAGCTACTTGTCATCTCCCGTACTGGAAATAGATACTTCTGCGGACAAACGCGTGTTGAGAAACGTTTCGAAATCCATGCGTTTGCATGATTCTTCTTCCTTGTCTTGAATCCTTGTTATCAGAACGGCTGTGCTGAAACACGTATCTGCATTATGCTCACCATTATGTCTGCCGCTCGGTCGTACGAGCGGATTGCTTTTTGGTTCAGGTTGTGTTTCTACCCAGGGTAATTGTCGTGATTAGTTGTGATTAATGATTGAAGTTTTTATATTTTTAATGAATGATGGCTGATATTCCACACTCCATATTTCTTCCCTGCCGTGTGGCAATTTGCCTACTTATGCATCATATTAACTGGGATTTGTCTATTAATATCAACCCGTGCTGCAATGGACTCTAAAGAAATGCTCTTTAAAGCTTACAACGCACAAGCATAGTGGCTTAGCGATAGCTTTTGTGTGATAAGAATGGTGATGGTGCAAGTAAATGTACTTTAAAAAATTGATACTCATGCTGCCCAAGGTTGTGATTTTTATACTTTGCTATGAGACTTTTAAGAGATTTTGCATGATAGCATTCATCAAAATAAGCTCACACCGGAATTTTCAAAAGTCGCAGAAATTATGGGCACCTAAAAAAAACTGCTTGCACATACGCACGTGTCATCATCATCTTCTGCCAGTGTCCACTGCTGGACAAAGGTCTCCACACTTCATCGCCTTCGCTCACAGCCCGACGATGCCACAGAACAACAAATGAAGGGACAGAATGTCCCAAGCTAAAGGGAGAGGTTAGGACGACGTTATGATGCAACAATCAGTTCTGGCAGGAGATGATTACAGTTGAACTAAAAACTAAACTTTTTTGTATTTTACCAGACAGGACCCACTGAGCTCTATCGTTCTTTTTCAGAAGCGGCCTGGGCCACAAATTATAGCTCAACGAAGTGGCTTACCATCATGTGAAAATGTGATAGCAGCAAAATACTCAGTGTAACGATGACTACTAACTACGGCTGCTCCTACAGTGACTAACGCAGCGCATCCGTTGACTTTGTTGCTTTCTTCCTCTGCAGCAGCCAAGCTCCTCATCATCAAGCTTGAGCTCAGCCCATTCCGTGTCCGCACACATCATCAGCTCTGCTCCGTGCAGCGCCAGAGGTGACGAGTCCACGCTTCACACCCGCAGTGGTAACATCGTGGGGCTACGCGGCGGCGAGATGTTCTTTGTAAGCCATCTGGCTACCATGAGAGATTCGTTCATGAGGCTATCCACATATACAAGCACAGAGACAATTTCAACCGAGAAGATGGATTCTATTTTAGCAATCATTGGAAAGATTTGATAAACCATTTCAGGTCTAAATTGATTGTTCACGCTAACAGTGGCTTTTAGACAGCATACATTAAAAATTTTCGTCTCCCCCCTCCTCTTTTCAGAACATAGATGGACTCGTCCTTCTAAATAAACTGCCAAATCGCTGCGCGTGGCGCTAACGTTTTTTTATAAATAAATAAATGCGCCGTTTAAAAATAAATAACTTTATGCAAACCGGCACACCTGATGACGACCGTTTGTGTTATGGTCGAAACGTCGTGAGAATTTTTATTGTTATATATATTTTATTATTTTATTGTTTCCCTTCAACGTGACTTTACCGAAAGAACTAAGAATATGAATTACTGCAGTCACGAAAGCTTTAAATCAAAACCTATGTATTTGTTAATAAAAATAAAAAAAAATACCATCGAGAACCTTAGGGGTGCAAGGCTGCAGAAAAGGTTAAGAACCAATGATATCGAGGGTGAGCTCCCACTAGTGGAGGCTCTTTCTGCCAGAACTCGCGTGAGCAAACGAACAAGCAATTCCAGGGCTGCACATTTTTCTTTCTTACTTCACTTCACAAGAGCCCGGTGGAAAGCATGAACCCGGAACAAGGGAAGGAGGCGCAGAAATTCCGCAGACCCCAAGTCCCCCAAACTCGGTGTTCACGGCTTTAGGGGGATTGGGTGAAGATTGGTCTCATTGCCCCACCGCTCACGTAGGGCACTGCGAGCGGGGATAGAGGGTTTTTTGTTTGTTTATATGGGGAAGGGAAGACAAGGGAAGATGGACAAAATTAAGGGGGGAAAGGGGTGGACGGAGCACCCTGGGTGGGTAAAACGTAGCGAGTTGGCATAGTAGGGGGCACAGATGGTGCATCGGCCAGTCATCTCAGTAAGTCAACCCATGGCACCTGCTGCTGAGTCTGTCCCGTGACGTTGCCTTAACGTGCACATGGCCTGGCACAAGCGCCGTGGTGACATCACCAGCACTTAGTGGCGAATTGCGATTGTTGTCATTGTTGCTGTTGCCGATGCGTCGATGAAGGCTCGCCCATGCTGTCGGACAAGTACCGCCACTGCCGCGACCCCACGGGCCTCTCGGCGCTGATGCGAGACCGCCCGTGCAGCGCGGTCTTCCCCGTCATCTCTGAGCACGGCCAGGTGAGGACCCCGGCCTAGTCCCTGCCCCCCCGCCCCCCCTCCCGCTCCCCCGCCCCCCCCCCCGCCCCCCGCCCGTGATTGACGTTGCCACCTCCTGGGTGCAGATAAAAACGCAACGTGCGAAGAGTGGAGCACTGCTTGTAAATGCATTGTCTTGAACGGTGTGTGGTTGTTGTTGTTGTCACCACGGGCGGAGTTTCCGGGAGAGCAACGCCCTGTCCAAACTGGATACCTTTATTAATTTATTTTGAGTAGTTTACAATTAAGATGTTTTGTAATTGATTAATTATATAAGCCCACGATTCCTGATGTGAGGGACAAAGCAAACCCCTGCACCCCACTCCCCCCCCCCCACAAATATGGAAGTCAAACTCTGCCCATGATTGTCAAGCAACTGACAGCGAAGGGACGTTGAATGTCCTGGAAGGGGAAACAGATGTTCATGGTTAGCTATTGATTTTCGCTGACATCATTTTAATTATTATTACTACTACTGTCACACATGCCATGGCTCACTCGGGCTCCATTTAGTGCTGTGATGAATTCTCACTGTTCAGGGTTGAGATTTTTACTGTTTTATGATGCTGGCTGCTGCTAGACTGACCGCTTTCCAATTTGTATCAGACTAACTTTCTCCTGGATGATGGTGTGAGACAAGAGAGTGCAATATGTAGGATTTGGTCTGAACTATATTTGGAGTTTGCATGTTCTCCCCGTGTTTCACATGAATTGTTCCTCTGGGTCCTCCAGATTTTCCCTCCACATTGAGAAACATGCATTGCGATTATTTCGATGATTTTGCTGCTATACATTTCCACATGATGAGCCAATTTCTTTAGCTAACATTTTTTTGCCAGGTCGCTTCTGAAAAATAAATTTAAACCTCAGTGATCTTTACCTGGTAATATAACAAAATTTTTACTTAGTTTTCTTTGTATCTTTTAACTGATTTGTCTACCTTTTGTATACTTTCGTATCGTTTGTTGTGGCAACGTTCTGACGCCGTGCCCCTACTGGAAATCTGTGAAAAAGAGCTTTATAGCCCATCGGATTCCTCCATTACGAATATATATTCTGATTCAAAAATTGCCACGAGCCTTCGTCTCCCCAGTCGCGATTTGTCTGGGCGTTTTGAGGGGTGGTTGGGGCCAGAGTCCAGGCAACACCTCCAGCACCAGCGCCCTCAGTCAATGACCGCAGCTCACAGGAGGCTCGTCGTGCATGCACCGATTGTCAAAATTAAGATTTGAATGGGAAATTAAAGTCCTTCTTTGCTCTGAAGTAGGGCCATTGCCCAAATTATCATCTTTTGTACGAGAAAAGATGCCACGGTTTGACAATTGTGTTGATATTTCGTTGTTCGCCACTGCCAACACAGCATCACCATGTAATTTGTTAAATTGACAACAGTGAAATTACAATCAACTTTTAACAAATCGCAATGCTCAAGTCCACCAATCAAAATCCAATTTCCAAGCCCTTCTTGCTACATTATGTTCTTGTCTGCTTCATTGAACCATCGGACGTATGCTTTGCGTCTCGTTTGTGTTGCCCGTTTCGTATGTTCTATTTTAATTCGTACCGCCCAGCTCGTTTGTACCGCAGGCGGTCATCCCTTCACCTCGCTGCAGCCTTTATCTCGTTTTGAATTCTCTGCTTGTTGGCGCTGTTCTCTGTCGGTTCGATTCCAGCAGCCACCAGCGATGCACAGGGCTTTGATCCAGCAGGTGACAGGATCAGGAAAACTCTCCAGTGACCCCAACCTCTCAATGGCTGAGCGCGGTGAGTAGAGAAACAAAGACGGGTGTGAATATACTTACGGTGGCTGAGGATATGCTGATGCCAACAAATTAGTGCACACCAGTATTTAATATCCACGTATGATAATAACGATTCTATGTATATAGGGCTTCTCATCAAGGATCTCAAAGCGCTGTACAGGACAGAGCAGCAACAGCAGACACTCAGCATAATAGAATACACGACGTTTCGATGTCAACACAAGCAACCGTCATCAGGTGTGAAAGAATGCAAGCTCGGAGAGAGACACACATACAGAGAGAGAGAATCACAGACACGGATAGAGACACACAGAGAGAGACAAACACACAGAGAGAGACATACGTGGCAGAGAGACACACATGGGGGAGAGACGCACAGAGAGACACACGCGCAGAGAGAGACACACATGGGGGAGAGACGCACAGAAAGACGCACGCGCAGAGAGAGACACACATGGGGGAAAGACGCACAGAGAGACGCACGCGCAGAGAGAGACACACATGGGGGAGAGACACACAGAGAGACACACGCAGAGAGAGACACACACAGAGACACACAGAGAAACAACGCCTCTGTGGCGAGGCATTATAGAGAGTGGGGGGGGGGGGACAGAGAAATTAGCAAGTCAATGAGAGCGGCAGGGGGAGGACCTTCAAATCAAGTCTTTATTCAGCATAATAATAAATATATTATGAATACATTTTAACAATCCATTTACTGCATGAACTAAAAGTTTAATAAGCGGAAGGGTATGAATACGTTTTAAGACTCATTTAAAAACATTTCCACAGGCTCAGAGAGATCCTGATATCTTCTGGAAGAGTGTTCCATAGCCTGGGAGCTACACAGAAAAAAAGCTCGGTCACCCATAGCCTGAAGTCTCGACCTGGGAAATGTACCCTGCCTGTGCTATCGGCATCATGTAATGACTCTCACAGGGCAGTGAAACCTTTCCTGTTATAGAGCCACCCATGGAAGTGGATATCACAGAACTACCCCTGAGATCCCTTCAAGTAATCTCCAGTCCACACTAGATGGCAAGGACTCTCCCATGGGCTCTGCCATATGAATAGTGTTCTTCGCATGACAGCAGTCGAAACCCATTTTTAAATTCTCAGAGCGGGATTTTTTTTTCCAATGAAGTACAGTTGCAAATTTAATAGGGTCGCTTCTTTGGTGCAATCATTGGTGTCCAGGCTGAGAACCGTCAGCTCACTGCGTTTGAGCCATGAACCATAAAAAAAAAACATTCATAAACTCTCGAAGAGTGGTGCAGAATCGTTACACGGTTGGCTCTCAAGTCCACTACCCTGATCTGAGATGGATCCCTTTGGAGTCAAAACTGTCACGAGGCAACGTTGCACCACGCCGTCCAAGGCGCCGGTGGTTGACGCCGATCCTCAATTGTTGCAGCTGTCCCAGCGGCGCCCAGCAGCTGGAGTCTGGACAGCGGCACCAGGGACATGTCCATCTACATGAAGAGCAAGGGGTCTGTCCTGGGGCCTCCACCCGTGCCCCCCAGGGTTGGACACCCCGGTAAATGGGCGCACGTGTGACACGCAGAGTGCTTGCCACAAATTAACACACAATACCTTGTTGATCTCGTCATCGGCTTTTTGGCTAGCCGTCGAACAAAGATGGCCACCACATCACGTGCTGTCAGATGCACTTCTGTGGCCGTCTGGAAAGCTCTTCCTTCCGATATTGGGAAGCCACTGGAGCTATGCACTTTCAAATCTAGATCCAAAACTAATTTCTTTCGAACTGCTTTTTATGTTTAGTTTGTTGTCCTTCCCCGACACCTCCGATTAGCACGGATGGCTACGTACGGTGCGAAAGAAGTGCAACATACAGTACGTACATCAGGGGTGGCGACACGGCCGAGCATCAGCGCGTTTGCCGCTTGTTGCAGAGGTTTACTGTCCGAAGCCCCGGCCTCCTCGGTTAACCGTAACGTACCACGCGCTGTTGAAGATCTGGCGACGTTTTTTAAACGGAGCCAGCCAAGTGTCCAGGCGTCACTTAGAATATTCCTTAGCAGACCACTCAATTGGATTAACCAGTGGCAACGTCGGCTGCCCTGTGGGCAGACTCATGCCCTCCTGCAGACAGGTGTTGTGGTCACCTTGCACCGCGCAGGACCAATCTGCCATTAAATGCACCTGCGATTAGCATGGTTGGCTACGTACAGCACGAAAGAAGTTCAACATACATACATAGATTAGCAGGTCCTCTGGGTAAACAAAACAAAAAACCACTGCAGACTAAAACGTTTCGTTAGCTCTGTGGGCACAAGATGATGATAATAATTGTATTTGAAAACGGCATCGTTCATGAAAATCGCGACTCAAATCGAGCCAAAGCCTCACTTGCCGTTGGCGCGATGGAATCGTTCTTGTCAACTGATTTATCGCCTGTGAATTCTCTGTCCCAGGAATGCTCCCCATTGGGTTTGAGGCGTTCCACCAGCAAATCACTGACATTCCCCCAGCACTGCCCATGCGTAACCTACACAAGGTACGTGTCTGCAGTCGGAGACCAAAATTGTAATCGTAGCGGATGATGGTTAAATCGTCTGACTCATCGTGGGCGTCACCCCTCCCAATTGCCCTTGCCGTGATTGTGACCACGTTGGTTTCGCATTGCCTCCAGTTGTCATTTGTCGTCGTCACCATTCGTGCGGCGGCAATTTACCGGTCGTCGCTCCGCACCTTTTAACTTACGCGCATTTGCCATAATTACTTTGCGTTCACGGATCCATAAGAACATTATCATGCTTTTTTGATCGTACGTGGTTGTTTGTGTGCTAATGCAGGACAATATTGTAATCGTATTGTTATTAACAAACACAGTACATCTGAAAGGCTTTGTTCACGTGGTAATAACTAACAGCAATGTAATTATTAGAAATGTTTTTGTTGATCTGACTCATTACCGAACAAAAATTGCCTCTCGATGGTTTGGTGGCTCAGTGGACTGGACCTCAAAACCTCCAGCAAGGTTCTTTGCCACCATCTCTGGGAACCTGGCTTCTGCTCAGGCTCAGGCAGGAGCGACAGGAACCAATTCTACTCTGGTAGCTGCTCAAGTATCTCGCGCATGCGCCGAGTCCATGTCATAAAGCCTTCCCCAAAAAACGTTCCGTATCGACCCCCCCTCCTCAAACCGGTGTCGTCAGCTTTTGCCATGCTCGCTGAGCAATGGGAAATCGATGGAAGGAAATTTAATTCCTCTCCCCACCCCCCACGCCCACCCTACCCCAACAAAAAAACCTTTGGAACGAAAGTAACACGGTCTGCTTTCTTAACATCTCGTGGTGGCGAGATGTGACTTCCCTCGCCTGGTATGGTTCGATCCCGACCCTGCCGCCTGCTGCATATTTGGAGTTTGCATGTATTCTCCCCGTGGTCGTGTGGATTTTTCTCAGGGCCCTTCGGTTTTTCTCTCCACGTTTAGAATCAACGTGCATTTCGAGTATGTTTGGCTGCGATACATTTCCACGTGATAAGCCACTTCGTTGAGCTACCATTTGTGGTCAGGTCGCTTTGGAAAAAAAAATCGATATAGCTTAGTGGGCCTTACCTGGTGAAATTAAAAAAAGTTTGATAGTTCTCATGAACACAGTTGCCCTGAGTGTTTTCCTGGTCCTATTGAGCTTGCCCGGTTCACATATTTCACCGTACCTCACTCCGTGTCACTCCATTGCATCGTGCTAAGACCATGCCCACTGAATCACCGGACCTCACCCTGTTATTGTCTGACGAAGGGTCAGGAGAGCTAGGAAGTGAATTGTCTCAAGGCCCTTTCACGCTGGATCAGTTTTCTCATCGGCAGAGTGTGAACCAGGGGTGGGGAACGTCTGGCCCGCGGGCCGTACAAGGCCCGAAAAATCATTTGGTGTGGCCCTGCCAAGGCAGTTCCAGCCATCACATTAAGGGGTGGGCTAATTAAATGTTTGACCAAATATAACAGGCTAATTTTTAAGTTGATAATTTTGTATGGCCCGCGAATGATGTTATAAATATCCAAATGGCCCTTGGCAGAAAAAAGGTTCCCCACCCCTGGTGTAAACCGTCCACGCCCCTCCGCAGCCCACACAGCCGCGTTGTGGACGTTGGCGGTGCCCTCTTCGTGCGTGGCTCCAGGTGGTCAATATGTAGATTGCAGACAGGGTCCCGTTAAGCCTACGGTGCGTAAACCACCGTGTAATTAAAGGTTTCACCGTCGGTATAATCGGAATTTACGTCACCCCACTGAAGAGAGAAAACCGCAGACTCCAAAAATGCGACGAGTTTTATCCAAAATACCGTGGCTGTCTCTTAGGCATGCCTAGACATGTTGGGGGCATTTAGACACCTGTGACACCCACGGTGGCTGCGCGCATGCCCCAGATGAGACACTCAGGTCGAGTTATGACCAACTTCGAGCACATAAAAGCATAAATCGGCATGCAGCACAGCATTCCTTTGACTTTATTCTTATACTCCGGCGGCAGGAGAATTGATTCGTTAACATTCTGGCTGCTGTCAATAAGTGCCAACTGTTTTGTGACCATGGTGTAGCAATTAGCGAATTGGCCATTGGTAAACTTATATGTGTTTGCGTCCAACTGCATTGCACTGGCCCCGGAATTCCAGCGCGGCCTGTGAATGTTTCCAAGCAAAAGCTATCGCGTGCGATACTGCGCTTAACAATCCTGCCAGAGAACTCCGCGAACATGCAGGGGTCCTTCACACGACACGCGTTCCGGGTGTTCATGTCCACACGTTTCTCTGTCCTGCTGCAGCACGCTTGCACACGCAGGGATGTATATTCACCGGCTGTAATTGAAATCCAACACTTTCTGTACGTGATTAGAAGAAAAAAACCCCGTAATAACGTGGAATGTGTGCCGGCTGGAAACAGATAGAAATAACAAGATGCAAAGGTGTGTGCGACTCACAAATAGCGTGACGAGGTGAAGTGCATTCTACCAGCAACGTGGCGGTCACACGATATGCACGCAAACAGCGGCAGTCGTGCCTATGTGGAGTTGGTGAGCGCACCCTTGCGTGCTGTTATTTCCACCGGCTGCAAACGAGCGACGGGACGGAGGGAGCGAAAGAGAGAAACGAGGACCGGTTGCTTGTGCCGCAGATGTCCCTGCGTTCGCTGGCGGGCTCGCCGACGGGCCAAACGACAGCCGCACGCGAGCTCAACTGCAGCCACTCCACCCTGTCAGCGAGCGCCAGCAGCGGCGTGTCCTCGCTCAGCGACTGCGTGTCGCTGGCGGGGGGAGCGGCAGCGCCCGGCGCGACACCCCAGGGCGGTGAGGTCCCGCTGCCTAAGGACGAGGCCTCCCCGCCAGAGCCCGACGCCGGCGCCCAGCCGCCGGGGCCGCAGCACCAGCGGCACAACAGCGGCGGCAGCGGCAGCAGCCACCACAGCCACCACCATCACCACCACCACCACCACAACAGCAACCACCACCACCAGCAGCAGCAGCAGCATCAGCAGCAGCAGCAGCAGCACCACCACCACCACACGCACCCACACCACCGGCAGCACCCACCGCAGCCCCCTCGTAGCCGCTCGGAGCCCAACACGGTGGGGCAGCGGCCCACCACGCCCCGCGCCCGGACACCGCAGCCGTGCCGCGACGGCGCCGGGGGTGGCGGCAGCTCCAACCGCAGCGACAGCAACGACAGCAACGACAGCTCCCCAAGCAGCGGCGGCGGCAGGCCCAACACCCTGCCCAAAGCCAAGACGCTGTCGCCGCAGACGTCGATGTACAGCGAGAGCCACCTGTGAAGGCGCCGAATAGAATTAGAGAGGAAATGCGAAATGCGGTGGTGACGGGAGCGTGCGCTGTCGATCCAGATCGGTCCCGTGAATTTCAGACGGTTCGTCATGCGCCTCTTGATTTAAGCCACAGTAAAAGTCTAGAGGTTGTGCCCCCTTGATTACGTCCTCGCGCCAACTCCTGGTGAGAAGGGCCTCGGCTAGAGTAAGCTCTAGCCGAGCCCCTTCTCGAGGGTGTTTTTGGCCTGCTCTTCCATGCTGCCTAGATGTCTTTGGAGATGTGGGAGTACCCACACTTTGCCCCACCGCACACGGCCTGCCGATCCGACTAACCGCGGTGTATCCATTCATGCCGGTGGGTGGACAAATGTGGGGGGGATTTGCGAAACTTGCCCCGCAATTTCAACTTTAGCCACAGCGCTTGCGTGAATTTACCGCACGAAGGAAAAGATGGGTTTATGTTTTTGATTACTTCTTTGACGAATGTAGTTGTAGAATTTAAAGGTATAAGCATAGGGCATGAGGTTTATTTATTAGTATTTCTGTCATGAAATATTCATGGTAATTTGGTTGGGTTTTTTTTTTGTAGCCAGATATGGACAAGGTTGAATAATTAAAACAGAATGTGTTAAACAAGAAAGCACAGCATGACTTGTGGCGAGAATCAATAATCTGCTGAATTGTTTCATAAAAAAAAAGTTGCCTTTTCCGAGTGGACCTTGTTAAAAAAATATATATCAAAAGGAAAAAAATACCACAGGTACGCAAAATTTAGTTAACATCATCAAGAGCAAAACATTTATGTGAACCCCGATACTGCCGATTTTGTGTTCACATTTGTTCACGAGTATAAACACTGTAAAAAAAAGTGAGACATTTGCTCAAAATGTAAAAAAAAACCTTGCACCTTGAATGTTAGTAAATATTAGATTGTTTTCTCTCCGGCAGATCCGCCAATTCTCCCCTTACGCGTGTCACATTTAACATGAGCCCCCATATTCACCAATGCTTTTTTTTACAGCAGTAATGCACTTGTTCATGGTCTTGCTGTCTGTGCGCGGTCGGCTACGTACGGTGCGAAAGAAGATCAACGTGCGCACATTAATGCTGTTCTGACCCCATCCTGCTATCGTCGTTGGCTCGATACAAGTGAGAGAGTTCTGGGGGGTTTTTTTTCGGGTTTGTGTATTTTTTCCGAATGCTTCTGGCGCATCACAACGAGGAGGGCGCCAAGGGCCTGGAGGTAGACAAACAAGGCGCGGAATGGATTCGTGTCGTTTGCATGCATTGCGCTGTGTTCATCCTGCGATGTTGCAGATTGCCTTCGAGCGTAGATCTCTCTGTGGTTTTTCTAAGTTGGTGTACGTCGTCTGCGTCTGCTGCTGCTGTGCTTGCAGTAGCGGGAGTAGAAGCAATTTAAACATGGTGAAACATGCTTCGTGGGTAACGTAAGACTCTTATAAACCTAATTGTGGTTGTGGTAAAAAAAAAATTCTAAACATGTTTTTACATATTTTTTTCGTGTTTTAAGTTTAATACCTGAAAAGTTCCCAGATAATGGTGGACGCTTAATTATTTATCATCATTATTATTATCATCACGTGTCATTTTTACCACTGGTAAAAACGTTAACAATTGCTTTTGTATTTTAAAGTGGTTAAAAAGTGGTATGACTTCATCAGGTTGTGTAGTAGTTGCTATTGTTCAGCCACGGAACTCTGAATATGACTACTGAGCTTTTAATCACATGACTTGGCAGTGGTTAGGGGTACTGTAAACATTAGCAGCGTTCTATTCTAGATGGTAAACTACTTCAGAGTTTACAGGGCTCTAGAAATGTTTTCTAACCAGTCTTTATCATGTCATTAGTGGTATGCTTGAGTTTTTGCGTGTATTCTTGATTTATGTTTTAAATATACATTGATGAATGCATTAAAACATAAACTTTGAGCAGTGAACATTAAAAAAATAATTAGGTCGGGTAGAGTGAATTCATGAGATCGTAAAGTAAACGGCACTTTAAATTTGTGTAACATTTTTTTATGCAAACAAGAAGAATTTATATTAAAAAAAACATCTATTTACTTTGTGTCATGGTTTTAAAACACATTTAGTGTCGCATTTTATTAACTGGCCATTCGGGGTGTAACGATTCAGGGCCCCCCCCCCCTCGCGAATCGATTAATTGTCTGTGATTCAGAGTCACGATTCGATACCATAATCAATTTTTTTGTAACATTGCAGTGAATGTAAGTGGCATCTCGTGGCTGCAACAGTCACATGAACCCATGGCCACATACAACATTAACTCTTGGTAAAACGTCAACAACAACAAAATCTACGTATGTCAACTTAAAAATCATTAGTTATGGAATCGATGCATCGTTACACCTCTCCTAGCCACACTTATCCATTTGAGTAGCAATCTATATGAGTAGTTTTATCAACCGACATCTCATTAAGAGGGATTCAACTTATTCTCTGTTCGCGTGACACATTCTACTATACACCGTGCTTTAATTAATATTCCTACGTCAACGGAACCGCAACATTTAAGTTTTAGTTAAAATAAATGATTGTAGTACGACCTTAAAACTGTAACCCAAAAAATATTGTGATATTAACAATCAAATTACTGGGTTAAAGTTGGTGATCACGTCCCATATGCTGTACCTTTTGTATACCTACTGCCCAGTGGAAGTGGACTGAAATATGTACAGAAGTGTTGGTAACCCTCTTTCTGCATTGCTGTACATTTTTATCTGCCTGGTATTCGCTTAACATGCCTAGTTTGCAGTGACGTCTAAGTGAATATGCAGTAAATTGGTGCATGTTCCGTGCGGTTAACAAAAGCATTTATTGTACAGTATAGTTTTACGTATATTCTGCACTTTGTTAAAGGTTTCTATAATGTTATCGGCAGGGCAAAGAGGAGCAATGGTTTAACAACACCTCATTTCCTTTTGGAGTAAAAAAAAAACCTTTTCATTTATTTTTTTACATTAAACAGTAAAATCAAAACAAAAACACGAGTGTGCATGAATGCTCGAATTTAAAACTGCCAAGACATTGGTTTTTACTCCAAACTTGAGTGTGATCACCCCCACCCCCTCCAAAAATGCATGTCAATGCCGACCTTCAAATGCAATCACATTTCCGCACCGCTATTTTTTTTCTCTCCAACTAAACCCACAATTTGGCACGCACCAAAGCCGGCATTCACAGCTCATACGAAGTGCACATTATTTGAGCAGTTTTATTCTTAAGCGTTTTTTTTTTGGGAGGGCCCATTGTTTCACTTCTAGGCTCAGGGCGTCTCCGGCGAGTGGCACACACACACAACGTCGTGTGTGTGTGCCACTGCACATTTCCACTGGGCCCTGCTGCTTGTGTCGTGGGCCCAGCGTTGCGTTTACAATGATCGAGTTGTAACCCCCCCCCCCCAGCCCTCCCAACCATCTACCGTGCCATTGGTATCTAAGCCATTGACCTGATCGTAAGCTCGCCCGCTGGTTCAAATTAATTATCCACGGCAAGACATTTCGGATTTGACTTTTCGGATGCGTTTTACTAAACACGGTTCGTTGGGGGCGGACTGCCATGCCTGAGTGAGAGACATGAGAAGAGTGGAATATTTGTAAAAGATGACTGTTCGCTCGTGGGGGGGGGGGGGGGGGGAAAGAGGTGTATCATAACGGTGAGCTGTACAGTGCAGTAACAACTGTGTTATATCTTAAATCTAATAAATCTTAGCAGGAATGCTGATTAAAAAAAAAAATCCTTTGCGCGTGTCCATCGGAAGTTTACTGCGACCCAACCACCGCTTTCTCCCTGCGTGATCGTGGCTGGCTCTTTGTGAGTCCACTACTGGATTAGGGATTCTCCCACAGCGTGGGGATCATAGGGGATTATTGGATCATAGTTAACCGCGCTGATCAATGCCGGTAGACGTGTCAGCATCTACGTGACAACAGAACTGTGGATGATGCTGCACTGCCCTCTGCTGTCCAAAAAGTGGGCCCACAAACTAAACGAAAAGTAAACAATTTTATATTTCGACAAGTAAGGTTCACTGGAGCTATAGAGCTATTTTTTTTTTCAAAAGCGGCCTGGCCACAAATGATAGCCCAATTAAAGTGGCTTATCGTGTGGGAATGTATAACAGCCAACTACTTTAAACGCATACTCGTTATACATGTGGAGGGAAAATCCCAGAGGACTCGAGGAACAATACACGCGACCACGGGGAGATCGGGAGACACCGCAAACTCCAAATATACAGCAGGCGTCAGGGGCGGGATCGAACCCACTACCCCCTGTATACCAGGTGAGGAAGTTAACATCTCCTAGCCACCGTGGCGCCCAAGCCCTATGCATGGCAGTCGCCTGTCCCCCAGTACTCTACTGTATTGTACAGAATTATATATCAAGTCTGACGAGATCTGGTGCATTCCAGGTAATTTGATTATCTACTACTTAAGGCAATGTTGAAGAGGTCACTGTGGTCCAATGCCTTTGATGTCACCACACCTCCTTCCCTCTGATAGATCACGTAGTTGTCAATTCGACATTCGACCCCCCTAGCTCCACTCTCACATGAGCCGCTTCAGGGTGGATTTTGGCCAAATCTTTCAGGTTAGGCAGACGTCGTAGAATAGTTGGGAGTACCCACACTTAACTCTAACCCCACATGACCTAACAATCGACTAATTGTGGTGTTACCCGTTAACGTTGCTGTAGTTTGGTATAAATGTTCTACGTTCATACGACAGCATCCTGTTCCTGTTTGTATTGTTATTAATGAACCGTGGTCATCCTTTGGAGAGACTTCTGCACCGTGGGAATTGTGGGACGTATGTCATTTGCTACCATATCAGAAATGTGGACATTGGCGAGTGTGCCAAAGAAGCGTGGCGATAGATTCCACTTAGGGACTGGAAAATAAGTAATTGGCTAACGGAGCACAGAGGTGGAGCAATGAAGAAGAGACGCCAGCAGGAGCTGCATGGATTGTTGCATCGCGAAACCATCTCGATTACAAACTCATTTTTATGGAACTGCTTTTTGTGTTTAATTTGGTGTCCTTCCCCCCCCCCCCCCCCCCGCAGCTTCGATAAGCACGGTTGGCTACGTACGGTGCGAAATAAGTTCAACATACGTACACACAGATGGTGATGGCTTGGGATGTGATCATGAATGATAATGATGATGACTCAGGGCTACTGACACAGAATAAAACAAAAGCACCCTCCAATAAAATATCTTTGTTTGGGGCAAGGAGACACTGACTTTAATCATTCATGGTCTACATAAGAGAAAGGTGGGAGTCCAATTACACCGACTTTCATGATGATATAACCCTAGCCAGAATATATCACTGTGAGTGCACGAAGGTCCCTTTGTTGGGGAGACTCGGGAGTGAGGGGGCTCCTGTGTAATTCTGGACATAGCATTGAAAAGGATTACACTCCAATAAAGGGCTATACGGTTACTAGGAAGCAGCATCAGTCGTAACCATGTGCTTTAAGCGTCCCGCTTGCTAAATGTAAGGTCAATATTTCACAACCGACTACATATATTAGATACCATTCAGGGGTAAGTCAACAGGGCTTGGCCGATCCCTGCCGTGAGAGCCAATGGGGGGATGTCCCCACTGGCTCGTCACCGCCAGCAGAGATGAGAAACGACTGCCCAATACAATAAAACATCGCCGAGTTGGACTCGACTATGTCAGAATTCGGGGGTAAGCCGAAAAGCTTCTAGACGTCAATACAATGTTAACACATTTTAAAAAATGTAAACCAAAACAATGACTTTGACGGAGCCACCAATTATGCAGTGCACCTCCGATTAGCACGGTTGGCTACGTACGGTGCGAAAGAAGTTCAACATCGGGTACATACTTTGTGCGGTAGGAGATGGTGTGCGAGTTTGCACAAGCAACCCTAAAATATATAAATGCTTGCTGTGTACACAGTAGGGGCAAGAGGGGCCCATCTCCTTCGTGAATGTAAACTTTAAAGACAAGCCACAGTAGTGGTGCGTTTGTGGCAAATGCAACGCAAACTCTGCGCCGTTTACAAAACCGCGTTAAGTCTGCACTCCTGCAACCGAGGAGGAGGAGGAAGAGCGAAACCAACGCCAACTCTCCCCTGAAAAAACGTCGCCTCGTCGTGGCGAGCAGAACTCGACAGTGGCATTTAGCTCGTGGTCGTAGTGGAGTCAAAGGGGCCGTCCATAAATGACGTCACGCACCTAGGGGGGGGGGGGGGAGTCAGACATTTGTGACGATGTGTGACGAGGTGGGGGGGGGGGCGTTTGAGAAATGTGACGTCACATCAAAATGTGCAACTTTAAATAAATATAGACAACACGTTCTACTTAATTAAATAGACTTTTAATAAATGTTGTCTTCTACAACGTCAGAGTGCAGCGCCACATTAAATACGCACTACAATGACAATAGTTTAAAGCGATTTGAAGCATGTTTTTATTTTTTGGGGGGGCAGAGCTTTGTGACGTCATATTTGAGGGGGAGGAGGCTGACTTTTTGTGACGCCGTGTGACGAGGGGGGGGGGTGTCAAAAATCGTCCAAAATCGCGTGACGTCATTTATGGACGGCCCTACACGCAAGAACAGAACGTCCTGCGCGTATCTGTTGTATGCATGTAGTTGGGACTATGCTCCTTTAAACGTCACGTCTGAACTGATCTTTAATTCCTGCATCGTGAATGTCATTTCGTAAGCATTGTCCAATTCAATCGTGAAATAATAATACTGTATAAGCAACAATATAATTACGATATTTTGCAAAGTGGACAATTGGATTCCCGTCGTTAAACGAAACAAAATGTCAATCTCCGTTGGCAGTGGTGCACAAGGATAAAAAAAGAGAGAGAGATTAGTCAATAACAGGGCCTTACAAGGAGATAGCTAAAACGTGTAATGGTTCAGGCTGTCTTTCTTACTGGTAGGAACCTCCTGGTTACACCGGCCCACAGGGGATTATTGTGTCCGTCCGTCCGTCGTGCATCCAAAAATGGGAGGGGTGGGGCTGGGTGGAGAGGGGAGGGTGGGGAGGGGCTGGGTGGGGAGGGTGGGGAGGGTGGGGAGGGGCTGGGTGGGGAGGGTGGGGAGGGGCTGGGTGGGGAGGGTGAGGAGGGGCTGGGTAGGGAGGGGCTGGGTGGGAGGGGTGGGGCTGGGTGAGGAGGGTGGGGCTGGGAGGGGAGGGGCTGGGAGGGGAGGGTGAGGGGTGGGGCTGGGTTTGGGGTGGGAGGTGTGGGGCTGGGTGGGGAGGGGCTGGTCACCCCGTGGTGCCCTTATAAAACTCAACGTTTAACCCTTCTCACGCCGGCTTGTGCCCGCCCTCACAGTCGGGCATATTTGCGGAATACACCACGTGGTGCCGCCGTTGACCCTGGCTATTGACCGAGCAACCCAACGTTCCTACCAGCCCCCTCCGCAGGAATGTGTTAACTGCAGTCCGCTTACAATCCTGAATTCAGAGAATCATTACCAACTTGACGTTACGCTTAACAAGGCACGGCGCTTGTGGTCTGCGCAAGACGACATAGTGAAAGATCGCCCATTTGGTCGAGGCGTCGCTTATATTAATACACGTGTGTGTGTGTGTCACTATTATGGCTGTGTCGTTCACGAATGTGTTTAGCAATAATACTTTGTGATTACGACGTAAGTTTTGCTGGCTGGCTGGAGGGAAGGACGAAGGTTGGGGAGATTGCCACGCCCATAGAACATTGTATTTAAATGAATAAACAAAGCAACATTCGTTTACAGTATAGCACTGACAAAAAAATACACAATCTGCGACGTTTTTGCCAATGGCTCTTCCATTAAACATTCAACGTTGGCCCAACGTTGCAAGCGGTTGAATCCGCTGGGCCAAAGTTGACCCAACGTTCCACATTTAGTGGGTTCTTCGTTGCACGTTAAACAGATTATTTACTTTTGATTTAAAGCTTTCGTGACTGCAGTGATTCATCTTCTTGGTTCTTTCGGTAAAGTCACATTGAAGGGAAACAATAAAATAATAAAATATATATAAAACTAAATTCTCACGACGGTCCTCTTGAGGAGCCTTTCAAAACCATCACTTTACCTTACATTGCGGGGATCACAAAAAAGATCTCCAAAATCTTGAATAAACACAAGATCCAGGTCCGTTTCAACACATTACATAAAATCCGTGATCTGTTTCCGTCTGTAAAAGATGTGATTCCGGACATACAGTACCCTGGCGTCTACAAACCAAGTTGCCTCTGTGGTAGTAGTTACATTGGAGAAACCAAACGACATGTCTCGGACCGTATTCGTGAACACAAAGCAGACCTTGAACACGGTAGGACCAATACCTCGGCCATGGCAGATCATTGTTATAATCCAGTAGGCTCACATGACATTGACTTCTCCAAGACAGAGGTTCTTTGTAAGCCATCTGGCTACCATGAGAGATTCGTTCATGAGGCTATCCACATATACAAACAGAGACAATGTCAACTGAGAAGATGGATTCTGGCTTAGCAATCATTGGAAGGGTTTGATAAACCATTTCAGGTCTTAATTGATTGTTCACGCTTACAGTGGCTTTCAGACAGCATACATTAATTTTTCGTCTCCCCCCTCCTCTTTTCAGAACATAGATGGAC